TTCCTTTGCCTTGGAATTCCATTTCAAGTTCTGCATTTATAATATATATTTATCCAACAGTGATTAAGCTCAAACATATTATTAGACATAGGCCTACATGCTAGACATGATGCACACAATTGCAGAGCTAAAGAGCAAACATGTGCGTAATTTGGTATTGGTCTAATAATAAAATGACTGTTTTGGAAATAATGGTATAAAATGGAAAAGAAGTTTTGGAATGACTTGACAAGTTCTTAAAGACTGTATTTAGTTTAGACAAGTCACATGGATGATAAAAACATAATATGCAGCTTCAGTGTTAAACGCTCATGGCTACTCTCAGACTTCTCAAGAACAGCTTCTAGAAAAACAAACAAGAGATGAGGATATGGCCAACAGCTCTACAGTGGCGCATACTATGACACAATAACAAAGACTTCAGACAACAAAGTAGATTCTTACCGATTTCTTCTTCTATCATACCAATCACCGTCTCCCCCTCGGTATCTGACACAGAGTCCATCTCAAGCACGTCGTTCCCGTTCATAGTTACCAAACTTTGTATTTAGGTCAAGTAAACCTCAATAATTACATTCGCGCTATTTTAAACGGAATTCCTTGTTCATTGTCTTCTTTATTTCTCAATATCCATCCTGCCGCAAACTTTTGCTCAAGTTGGGACTTGAGAGAATGGAAACTCAGCGGGTGGGGTCCAACACAGAGAGGGAGGGGGATCAGGGGATGTGACAGTAGCGCAGACAAAGCAGAGCAAGACCACATGAACATAACACGCCCACGAGAATCACTGTCATAATGCAATAGGGTAGTAACATTGCCTTAAGTCTGTCCTGATGTCTATAGCCAGACGTGAAGGTGCACGTAGTCTACAGTCCATGACAATGAATGATGAACTAATTATGTTAGTGATTTGCACCGCATTAATCACGTTTGTTGATCTATGCATATTACAAAAAAAATTAAAAATAAAAAATGTTTAAACGTACTTAACTTATTTTAGACCATCATGGGCTTGTAAACTGGTTTATTTTAATGCATTATCGTTTTCATTATCTGTTACTGTTGCGGGAACCTTTTATTTTGTGGCCTTGAGACACGGGGAAGGAAAAGCCGGACGGACTCACCTAGGCTTATTTCCGCTAATAACAAAAATCTAAATTGAAACACTTTTCTATTTGATTTTGTCAATTTCTAACATTATATACTTATAGTTCTATGTACAATATAATATTTAGTGTCTAGCACACATAATACCAATTAAACTATTTAAATAATACTATATTTCTTCGTGTCACGGACAAGAGTGTGACACGGAGGATAAAAGAACCCAGCGAGCGAACTTATTAGCACTAGGCTAGCACTGCATTAATCCAAATGAGCCCATATACTCCGTGTTAGCTCAGCTGAAGGGTGTTGCTAGTGAACATGAATTTATTGGGTGTAAAGTTACATCTGCCTTGGGTTTCGATGTAGTTTTTTTGATAGAATTCTTATTATCGTGATCCGGAAGCCTCAGATATATTTTGGTGAGTTGGCCGCAACATTTCAGTCGTCAACATCCATTTATTGAGACGTTTCACTAGTTTAATTTCACAACCTTGATGACATGATTTATATTCAACGGTTTTGGTTTTTGTATTAAGATAGACATCTTAGACTAATGGATAAAATACGAGCGTGTTTTCTTATTTTGCAGAGACACCAGTTAAATTGTGGTCAAAATGAAGATGTTCTCAGTAGCCCACAAGACTGTGTTTGTGGTGGACCACTGTCCCTACATGGCAGAGTCCAGTCGACAGCAGGTGGAGTGCGATGTTTTGACCAAAAGGACACAAGGGGTGATCCCGTTAGCCCCCGTCTCCAAGTCTCTGTGGACCTGTGCTGTTGAGTGTTCAATGGAGTACTGCAGAATCCTGTATGATGTCTACCCATTGGATAAACTGGTACGCTTTGGTCTTCTTCATATCAACATAGAATTTATTGCCATGGACCATTTTAAATTATTCTTTATTATTGCTTTCAGATTAATTATATTGTCAGTGACTCAGAGTTTCACAGCCTAAATAGTTGGAGAAGAGAAGATCAGAGCACACATGAGGTAAATATACTCAGAAATATAAACTATATGTAATTTCTTATTGATGCATTGTGGACTGATTGTTTTGTTGTTACATGGTTCATGTCTCCCCAGCTCATGTCTGCTCTGGCAGCTGTGGGGCCTCCAAATCCACGTGAGGACCCGGAGTGCTGCAGCATCCTCCATGGACTCGTGGCTGCAGTTGAGTCCTTGTGCAAGATTACAGAGTTGCAGCATGAAAAGCGCATTGCTTTGATGGACACGGCTGAGAGAGTCGCCAATAGAGGGCGCATTATATGCCTCACTAATGCTAAAAGGTATAGTATAATTTGTCTATAGTATTAGTTGGATGGAGTGAAACCATGACTAACTTTATATTACTAACCGTTGAACATTGCTTAAATTTCTTTTCAATAGTGACACTCATGTACGCATGTTGGAAGATTGTATACAGGAAACAATTATGGAACAAAACAAGCTTGCAGCTGGCTCTGACAGGTCAGCAATGGAGAAATCAATATTGACTGCATGTATTTAATGGTGCCACAGTCAACAGTACTACAGCCTTCTAATGATTTTAACCTTTTGTTTTAGGCTGATGGCGATTCAACAGTGTGAGCTGGTTTTAGTTCACATTTTTCCACAGGGTGAAGACACACTGGTGTCAGACCGACCTAAGAAAGAGGTGTGTGAAGCAGAGACAGTTTGAAGCAATGACAAAGACACTTTAATTAAAGGATGACTTTTTTATTACAGATTTCACCTTTGCTCACCAGTGAAGTCCACAGTGTGCGTGCTGGACGACACCTAGCAACAAAACTAAATATTCTTGTCCAGCAGCACTTTGACCTGGCATCCACCACTATAACAAACATCCCCATGAAGGTAAGATCCTGAAGAAAACGCTTGCTAGTGCTATAATTATTTGTCTCTCTTATGATTTATTTTACAAAATTAGTTGCCACATCTATTTTTTGATTTGTTTATTTAATTTGCCAGTCTACTTTGTTTGACAGTTCCTCATACACAGCACATGTTTTTGTTGATCTTATTTGCATGATGTTTTCAATGTGCATCTGCTGCTGGTTTCATGCTGTATTTTCTGTTTTGCTAGCCCACATTAAATGTTTGTGAACAGGTTAGTATTTGGTACACACACATTGAAGTGAGAAAGACAAGTGTTTTATGTCAATAATGACAATGGGTCTCACCCAAAAATACAATAATCAATAAAATTATGTGTGACTGTTGTATGGAACAGGCAACTCTGGTCTCTTGACAAAGCATTCAGACTTATAATCAGAAATGTAAATATTTCATTGTCATGACATGTTTGACCAGGATTGCCTTATTTAAGTTATACACCTCCAAGTTGTACTGTTTGACTCCTCATTGTCTGTCCCATTGTTTTTCTCCTTGTCAAACTCCTGTGTGTGTTCTGTTGTGCTTTCAACATGCTAATAGTTACAATGTCCCAGTTAGTGAGTTTTGTTGTGAAATTTACCAATTTGAATCTAGGATAGATACAGTAGTTTGTCCAGTACCTGTAGATAAGCGTAAAGACAGCTTGATCCAGCTAGATGAGACCATTTAACCACTACAACAACTAAGTTTAATCACCCTTTATTTGTTAAACCCAGTCATCAGAGTTGAAGATGTGCTTTGTTATGACCCATATTTGTCATAAAATTTACCTTTTGACTTTTTCTACTTTCACAATCATTGAAACATGAAATCAGCAGTGTTTGTGTGTTTGAGTTGTGTTTGGTTTATTTCATAGATTATCTCATGCTCACTCTATTCACTCTGTGTGGCTTGACAGGAAGAGCAGCATGCCAACACATCAGCCAATTACGATGTGGAGCTTCTTCATCACAGAGATGCTCACCTGGAGTTCTTTAAAAGTGGTATGTATAATATGGAATAAAAAGTCAGTTTCTATCTCAATGTTTTTTGTTTTTTTTTTGTTTGTTTTTCTTTCAGATTAACAAAGATGTTTTGTATTTTATTTCTTTATAGGTGACTTACATATGGCTGGCACAAGTACAAGAGAGAATGGACTTAAAGAGACTATTACCTTAAAATGGTGCACTCCGAGAACCAACAGTATAGGTGAGTAAGAGTTCCTACCCTAAAAATGTATCTTTTAGACTTGCGTGTTTCTTCAAATTAAAAGTAGTAATAATAATTTTGCAGTAATTTTTTTAAAATAAATGGATCTCTCTCATTTGGGCATTTTAGAGCTGCATTATTGCACTGGGGCCTATCGCATCTCACCCACAGATGTCAACAGTCGACCATCTTCTTGTTTGACAAACTTTCTTCTAAATGGTAGGCTACACGTCTCTTTGAATAAACAATAGTAAAAATAAACAAATCTCTGTATATTGTTAATGACACATGACCTCTCTCAGGTCGGTCCGTTCTCTTGGAGCAGCCAAGGAAGTCTGGGTCAAAGGTCATCAGCCACATGCTGAGTAGCCATGGAGGAGAGATCTTCCTGCATGTCTTGAACAGTAACCGCTCCACACTGGAGGACCCTCCCTCTATCAGCGAGGGCTGTGGGGGGCGTGTGACTGACTACAGAATCACAGTGAGTAGTACACATTTATTTCAAAGGGTTAACACCAGTCTCAGGCTAAATCTGGAAGATTTTCATTTCATTCTAAAGTTATAAATAAAAGTATTACAAAAGTTGTTATAAAAGTATACAAATAAGCCAGCCTTTTGACTCTTGAGTTGTGTTTTTTTTTTTTTTTTTTCATGATTTAAAGTTAACTCAGTTATGTTGTGATGTGTTCAGGATTTTGGGGAATTTATGAGAGAAAATCGTTTGACTCCAGTGTCAGAGTCTTCCCATGATCCGTCGCGGAAGCTCCCAGTCGAAAGGGCCAAAGCACAGCTGGAACGGCACACTCGATATTGGCCAATGATCATCTCCCAGACTACCATCTTTAACATGCAAGCGGTAAGACAAAAGAATACAATATCACATCTTTCATGTAAAGGAATATACAGGAAGTTATAATGACTAAAGATTTTTCTGTTACTACTAGCAGTCTTTCTTTCCTGAAATTACAATATCAGAATTTTTGTGGAATTGAATGTACTAAAATGGGAATTAGTTTATTATTTATGTTAGTAACATATCAGATATTTTCACTAGGTTGTTCCTCTCGCCAACCTGATTGTGAAAGAGACTCTGACAGAGGAGGATGTCTTGACCTGCCAGAAGACTGTGTACAATCTGGTGGACATGGAGAGAAAAAATGACCCTCTCCCAATTTCCACTGTGGGATCCAGAGGAAAAGGCCCTAAAAGGTATAGTTAGTTTCAAAACTGAGTTTTAATTACAGGGGTAAGAGAATAATATTGCGATTGTTGTATAGAATATCAAGTATATTGTCTATTTCTGAAATTACATTAAAAAGAGACAGAAACATCTAGTGTTGGCATCTAAACCAGGGTGTAAACCAGGCTGTCCTTTTTTGGCTAATTTATGGTCTGTTAATGTTTTGTCTAATACTTGAACCTCAACCAAGACTCTAATTTTAGCATATTACTATTAAATATTATCTGAATATCGTTATGGAGATAATCCCTAAAAATATGTAGATATTCAATTTTGTGTGTTTTTCTCATTACAAATGCTTTGATTTATTGTATCTCATCTTTCCAGGGATGAGCAGTATCGTATAATGTGGAACGAGCTTGAGACTTTAGTGAAAACCCACGCAGGAGCCACTGACCGGCACCAGCGAGTTTTGGACTGCATTATCGCCTGCCGCAGCAAACCTCCAGAAGAAGAAGAGAGAAAAAAGAGAGGAAGAAAGAGGGAGGACCGAGAGGATAGAGCAGAGAAAAATGGAACAAAGGACACAGAAGAGAAGAGTTGGCAGGACTCGGAAAGGTATCGGATAAATGCAAATTATTGTCATGGTGGCACTTGGTAGCATGGCAATAGAATGGAAATAGCACAGTTACCTAAGTGTAACTATGGTAATTACTCATAGAAATAGGACACAACTGTCATTGTACTTTCAATAAGATGATAACTCTTAATTCTAACCCATTATATTGACTCTTAATCACAATTATATGTCATTAGCAGTGCATTTATTGTTTTCTATTCCAACCATCATACTTTTTCCATTTTATCACCATGCTGTTACCATGCTACAAAGTGCAAATTATTTTATTTATAAAGGATGTAATATCCAAATCTCACTATACAGTATATTATTATTACTGAATGCACCTTTAAGTACAATATTCAGTGCAGTATTGTGGGGAGACAGACTGTTACAACCTGTTCTGTTGTTACTATTTCATAAATAACAGTAATTTATTCATGTTTGCTGTACTGAAATTTAACAAAGAACCATGGACATGTAGTTCCCTCTGCTTGTTAAGTGGGCTGCTTCAACAAAACAATTATCAGTGTTTCTCATTAACAGAATAGACTATGGTGGCCCTCATAGTCTAAAAAGAACACAGACAAAATCTCATTTTATTGCTCCATATAACATAAAAGTAACTAACTACACTGTTCAAAAATACTTCTAAAATATGGAATACAGGCAATATAAGTGACGTTCAAACTCCACAAATTGTATGAAAGAAAATAATGAAAAAGTATTTTGCCCTCATAGGCAATCTTTGAGAAACAATGATTATTATTAAAGCAGCTCACAAACCAATATGTTTTAACCATCCATATGATTCTGATACTTTAGATTTTTACAGCATCATGTTTTTTTTTTTTTTACTTTCTTATTATTTACTTACTCAACACTTTTCCTGCACTTTGAAGGTTGAAGGGATTGTTGGATAAAGACGATCAGGAGTCGGAGGTGATCAAGGATTCACCGGATTCTCCAGAACCACTCAACAAAAAGCCACGCCTGTCCTCAGAAGACGCCCAGCCGGCCTCCAAAGGTACAAGACTTTTACTATTGTTATTTCACCTACTTAAAGAAGAGATATTATGCCAAGTAGACTTTTCAGGCTATTGTTCAATTCAATTCAGATCAATTAAAGCTTTATTGAGAAAACAGAATTTTATAGTCTCTAAAAGTGAGTAGTAAAAAAATAGAAATACATTGCATGTTATAATGTGTACAGACAGGATCGCCAATGTCTCCACAACTTCGAAGTGAATCTGACAGAGCTCCTCACAGGACAAACTAAAGCTTGAATGATCTGATTGTTCAAATTCATGGCTCAACACGTAAATAAGTAAATACATATGTTATTTTGGCTTCTCATCCAAAACGTGACTGAAACTGTATTTTGATTCATTCATGCTTGTTTCATTCACTGTGACAGGGTTGTAGAGGATAAACAACAATCAGTGCACAATCATTAGAAAAGCAATATTAACTTGTTATTTAATTTTCTATTAAAGGACCGGTCTCGCTTCTCAGTATGTGGACCAATCGCATCACAACAGCCAATTCTAGGAAGCATCAGGAGTTTTTTGGAAGGGCGAGTTCTGTTAACAACAAGTTCGAACTGTACCAACACCTTAAAGACGAAAATGGGTGTAACAATTTCTTCTTATTAATTAATGGTGCATTGTGTTTCTGTTGAAGGGTCCATCAAATGCTTTTCTCCATGGATATGTTATTTCTTTGTCTGAAATGTATCACAGTATGGCATTTAACCTTTCCATATTCATAGAGACCAAACCAGACCAAGTTACAGATCAGATTTGTGGAGAGGCAATCCCACCCACCTGTTTTTCTAGTTGTTTTTGAGCTATAAAACCACCTATAATTGAATAAATGTAAAGTAGAGCAGTTTAATGCCATACTGTGGAGAATTCGAGACAGAGCAGTGGCATATCCATAGAAACAAGAAGATAATGGACCCCCCCACCATAAGTTACATAGTGCACCCTTAACAGTGTTTCTTCTTATAATAAAAAAGGCAAATATGTTGCTTATTCAATATATATATATATTTTCTGTTACAGGATGGACGTTCATGAAAATGGCAAGGCCGCTAGATGATGGATTTCCTGCTTAAATCTTTTGAAAGACATTTTGGACCAGTATTTTGAGGTTTTACTGTCAACAACACAACAAAACAGACTGTGCTCAAAAAAATCTGAGGAATTTGTAATATTTTTTAATCCATATTTTGTAGATATAATGTTGACATGCTGTGCAACAAAATAAACAGGAGTAGAGAAAACCATCAGATGTTTGAGGACTTGTGTTTGAAGGGGAGTTGTTGTGGGTCACTGTCAGTTTGTTGCTGTTGAATTTCTGATGAAAATTGGTCTTCGTCTTGGTTTAAATTAATCCAGAGACGCAGAGGAGGAGGAGGTATTTCAGGTTGTAATAAAAGAGCCCGCCTTGGTCTTAGTGTCCTCAAATCTACACTCCTTACTGATAGCATTCGACTGGCAGGAAAAATTGCCACAACTCTAGGTGTTCTCTGACAGAAATAGACAATTACTGTGATGAAGATTACAATTAAGATGAGAGAACAGATCACAAGGAGGGCGATAAACATGGAAGCCATTTTGCCATAAACTGGGACCTGTGTGGATTTTTCAGTGATGGAGGGTGAGGTAGAGAAGTTTGAGGTAGTCTGTGGTTCTGAGGTAGTTTTAAAAATAGTAGGAATATGAGTTCCTGAAAAGCAGTCTTGCGTGTATGCGACTGGTTCAACACTGATTAACGGAAATTCAGGCAGCATCTCGTCTCTAAATTTTGGGTTTATTGTCTTGTTTTTAAATCTCATTGCCAACCACATGTTGTTTATCTTATCATAGTGACATTTTCCATTATCACATAGACTATAGTTATACCAGGACACAACAGTAGATCCAGATGAGACAGCTACAATTGAAAGATGATTAGCAACAGTATTGTTGAAGTAAGCTGAAATTTTTGTGAGAAACAGCTCTATCTTGTGGCGATGAAGGAGAACTGAGTGTAGGCTTAACTGTGTAGAAATGGTGAAAACATGACAGGGTTGAACAGGGGTACGATATAAATCTATTGTGAATTTCGTTGATGTACTGAGGCCTTCTTTGTCCCGGGATAGTAGAATTACATGCTGAGGGGCGAAATGAGTGTCCATTTCAAGCGGGATACCATGTAATTTTAGGCCATTCAGAGATAACCAGGAGCCCACACTTGGAAGAGGGGGGTCAATCAGTCTCATTTCCAAAGACAAGGCTTCGGCTGCTCCGTCCTCTGGGTCAACAAAGGTGTTCTCTGGGATCAAATATGAAAACATTAACCCAACAGTGGCAGTGAGAGCTGGGATGGTCTGTAGCACCTCTGGAGGGAAATTGACAGTACCTGAAAAACAAGAGGGAAAAGGTGAAAAACCTTTACCTTAATATATTTTTGATACTTCATCATCGAGGAAAGTTTTGTATACATAAAAAAAATAAGTTACATTATGATATAGATTTTTGGTTTATTTCTCAATACCCTACATACCATTTACAGTTTTTATCTAGAATATACTTGGCCAAAAATAATTAAAGAGAAATTTGGACTTCTGACACCACTAGTATGATGCCATATACTCTAGTGTAAGAGTTGACTCTTACACTGGAGTATATGGCATCAAAGCTGTAATTTATACAGTTATATTCTAATGATATGGTGGATGTGGATATGGATGACTTGTTAAACAGAATTGTAAATTATACCCCATTGAGGCTTTAGTGAATTGACTGTCCCATTCCAATAGACTAAAGCTATTCACTTCCTTCATGTTGTTTAACATTGCAACAAAATTATGTATCACTTTAAATGAGAAATTAAACACCCTTTGACATAGGCCTACTGTAAAATCCCACAATAACTTCCATAATAATGTCATATAGGATTTCATATAGGCCTACCATTTAAAAGCTGCATTTAACCTCTTCTTGACCACTTACTTGTTGCACTGACCAAAGATGTTGACAGCTTGATGATGTCTGATGAAGAATGCCCTATAGACAGTAACAAAGTGGTGGAAACCGCACTGTGAAGACCAAAATATGTGCTTTGTTTTGTAGGACCAACAGTGGGCTGTATGGATGACTGGGAGTTCAACAAAGACCCTCTTTCTGTCTGGCAGCGTTCCGTGAGGGCAGACGACCCATATGGTACAAATGTCATAAGAGAAAGACTAGTGATAAATGAAAGAGGAAAAGTGTCTGTGAGCATTTGATAGGAAGCAGATAAATAGTTTTGACTTAACTGGGCTGAGGTTGCCAAGACTGTAATGTCTGTATAGATTTTGGGGTTGAATGAAGAATATTCCTCACTTTCTGAATTTTGCCAAGTTGTTGGATAAGTTTTCCCACTTAATTCTGATGTCCAGTACATTGAATCTACTGAACTTGTCCAGTATTCATTTGTATTCCCAAACAATATGTTGACAGCTGTTGAGACACACCCACTAAGATCCACACTGTTGCATAGTGGAAAAGAAGGCTCAAGACTTTCCAATAAACTAACAAAACTTGCAGTGTAGGGGCCATGAACAGTAGAGGGCGCCAAAGTCTCAAAATAGCTTGTAGTAGCCATGCTTTCAGATGCTGACAAGTCAATGGAGTTTATTATACTGGGTAATATGGCAGTGGGCAGTGCATTACTTAAATATGCATTTGAAGTGGCTCCATAATCAGATTCTATGTTAGTTAACACCATAGTTGGGATGTTTGATGAAGAGGATGTGAAAGGTGGTTTTACAATGTTAGTTTGCTGCGATTTCTCCAATATTCCTGTTGTTTCTTTTGACTGCAAACCTTCAAAACCTGTCTGAAAACTACCAGTATTTGATAACTCAGATGTTAGCAAAGAACCAAAACAGTAAGAATGTTCAGTTTGATCTGAGCATGTGTCGCTACTGCCCGCTGTGTGTGACTGTGTCTTTGCAAATTCACTGTCAAGAGAAATGCTGGAAAAGTCTTGACTCAAAAGAATGGACTCATCTTGTATAGTTAATGTTGGGTTTATATGACCAAAAGTCGACGGCAGTTCAATAGTGCTATAGTCATGAAGAAAAGGCAGTGTAAACATGGATTCACTTGGTTCTTGGCTGTAGGAATAAAATGCTGAATGCTTATTTTGTGTCAATTCACTCAACATTGTTTCAAGTGTTGTATTTTGCACTAGTTCATGAGTAGGAAGTACATTCTGTGTTGAAACTGATAGCTCACTTGACAAAAACATGCTTGAATACAAAATTTCTTCAACATGAGACATCTCTAGTAAATTACTAGTGCTTGAAGTGAATGTTTGTTGGCCAGAAGGGGGAGTTATTGTCTCAAAATGGTTGCTCGCAGTTGCAGAAATGCTGAAGGCTGAAATCTGATCTGGATAAGTTACACTGGGACTAGTTGTAGTTGTTGACGTTGATGTTGTGTTTAAGTTTGCATGAACATTTGAGCTATGTGACCAAACTGAAGAAGGTTCAATAAGTTCACTGTTTATATTATAAGAATTACTGAGGATATGTATTGAGGACTCCAAGTTATTTTGTGTCAGTTCAGTCAACATTGTTTCAAGTGGCATGTTGCTAATCGTTGCATTTTGCATCAATTCCTGAGTTGGGAGATGCAGGAAACTTGTTGGAAAAAACTGTAAATCATCAGATGTTGACTCATATGTATCAAAAATGCTTGAACAGCGAGCTTGCCCGTTTTGATCAGTGCATAATCTTGTTTCAGATAGCAAGTAGGACTCCAGCGTTTCATTTTGTTGTGTACTGGAGAAGCCTTGAGAATCTGAATACTCGTCCACAGAAAACGATGGGCTGTTATCATATGTAGTGGGCATTTCACTAGTGCTGAAAGCAAAAGGTAAAGGTGGTGTGTATGCAGTGGGTCCAGCTGTAAAGAATGCATGCATTGAAGACTCCAGTGTATTTTGTGCTGTCTGACTCACCATTGTGGTCAGTTTTAGGTCTGTAAGGGTTGCATTTAGCCGAGATACTGCTTCCTGCCCAGTTCCAGACACAGTTGGGGATATTTTTGAACCAGTTTGCTCAATATTTGATGGCTGACTCAGATGTGGCATTGGGGAAAACATCTGGAATATTGCATTTGATGACTGCTGTGATTGGTCAGTGGTGAACGATAAAGAAACTCCATAGGTCTCTGTTTGATGACTATCAGAAACAGATGAGAGGCTGAAGTTTTGTCTGAGGTCAGAATGATCTGCAAAAGCACAAAGGAGTAAGATTAGCTCATTAAGATGTGAAAGTGGTTAAATATGGCGCTTACTCATGATTAAAAAAGGAACTTGAGGTTTCTATGGTTTTTCAAATCTGAGTTTTGTGCTTCTCACAGAAAGTGATTCAGGTTAAATGGTGGCCAACTCATAGTGATGAACTGCCAATTTACCTAAAATAAAATTGTTGAGAACTTGACTGTATAGTTTTTATTCTGTTAAGTTTCTACATAAATTTAAGTGGAAAAACATAAAGCACAAATGCTAATGTTTTTGGACATTTACATTCTAAATGTTATAAAAGTGTCATTTAATCCTTACTTAGTATATTTTTATGAGTAAAAGTATATTGTAGTAGTAGACATATGTTGTAATCAATGTCCCTATTCAAGATCATTGAGGAATTTATTTAATTATTGAGTCTATTAAGTAAACAAAATGTCATAAATAAAATAAAAATAACATAACATAAAAATAAATTAAATTAAATTAAAAGAGAATAAAACAAAGCAAAATCAATCAAACATGCTACTCTAATTACAGTCTTGTTGTAAAGGAAACTAATGTGATTTCCCTTTACCCAACTCTTATTCATCTGTGGGCCTCTGTGGGTCACCTCCCTCCAACATACGAGTACAATGACCAGTAATGACCAGTCTAACAGCACCTCATTCACAGAAGGACCAGACCAGAGCCAGCGGACTTACCCAATGACTTCAGAGGGGGCTGGCGGGCTGATTCAGAATGACTGTACCCATATGTTTCAGTCCAGATGTCACTCCCGTCCTGGTCAGATCCTGGGGTCAAGCTTGTGGGCAGCCTTTGAAAGTTAGTGGTCACATGCATCTGAGTGGAAAGGACTGGAGCAATGTTGTTTTCAAAGGATAATAGCAAAGTTCTCATATCTGACTCAGCGTGGTCAGATGAAAAAGTGTCACTGGCTGGTAGAAAATAATTGACCGTTATGCTATTTGTTTGTGCAAATGTCTGGCCTTGGCTTGCTTTATATTCCTCTTCAGTCGTACTACTAAGCTGTGAAGGAAAAATTGACAAATCTAACCGTAAATCTCTTTTGACCTTATGAGCTACTTCCACTGTGCATAGCAATCTCAAAGCAAAAACTGGTATATCTAGCTGCTTCATCAAAATGTCTCTCACAAAAACATTATTAAATTTATCTTGAAGAAAAAATAATTGTTCTTGTGATTTGTAACCAAAATGCCATAAAAGTTGAGTCAAATTTCCATGAGTAATTGACTTTTCAAAATCCTCTAGCAGGTTGCTTGGGTTGCAGACTTTGAGCATTTTATGGTAAGGTGCATTGAAGTTCTTGGTTGAAAATAATGAGACTGAATATCGCTGTAAGTGAAGGAGGTCTGCCACTGTGGTGACCAAATGGATGCGCCGACTGGCATTGAGGTGAACTGGGCTCACATCAAGAAAAAGGCTGCCCCAGATGCTGATTTCTCTCTCAGGACAGGGCAGCGAGTCCCTGTACACACAAAACAGCAAACACAGTTTACGTCAGTACATCAGTATACAGTGTGTAGGTATTTTGAAAATGTGTTCACCAAAATATAATATTAATTGAGAGATGATTTTGTATTCTGAAACTATTGAACTATTGGAAAAAAAATCTTTCATTGCAGAAATGTTATAGCTGTCTACCTGTTATGTTTGACCCAGCACACACAAACAGAATAGGTAGACAAAAGTTTATGGCAGGTTACATTAAATCAGTGTTGGAAGAAATATTTAATTTTGTTACTTAAGTGCAGATACTGAAGCAAAAAAAAAAAAAACAAACAAAAAAACTCAAGCATAAGTAAAAGTATCAAAGTACCTGTTTAAAAATGTACTTAAAGACAGAAAAGGAAAAGCATTTTGTGCAGAGTATGAGATCTAATAAAACTTCAAATGTAGTGATTGTGATATAGATTTGCGCTGAATTTTGTTCAGCAGAAACAAATGAATCAATTATTTTTTTATTTTGTTTGCTCAAACTATGACCTTGATTAAAAATAAATTAACACTGTAGGGTTTTCAGCAGGTCTCACACAATAATAAAAAATACTTTACTGAAAAAAATACTGAAAAGAATACTCCATTTCAGCCCTGTTCAGAAATGTAGTGGAGTAAAAGGCACAGATACCTGCTCTCAGATGTTGTGAAGTAAAAGTAAAAAGTATCCACATTAAAATGTACTTAAGAAAAGCACAGATGCTTAAAATTTTTACTTAAGTACAATACTTTACTGCTATTACATTTGTTACATTCACTGCATTTAATTATATGATTTAATGATCGAATGATGATAATGCCTTAGATATTTATTGTGCTTTAGATCTGTTATGTGCTTTACAAAACTGACAAACTTCTCAAATCTCTGTTCACTGTGGCCATTTTCCCTACTCACTATACTATGTGGAAATATTTCAACTAACCTGAGGGAATGGGAAAAAGTGCTTTGCTAGATAAGACCATTTTGGTGCTTTCACCTTTTTGGAGAATTGCCAGGGATAGTTGCGTTGCTAACGTGCACAAAGAAATCTGCTGTACAATTTTGAGTGACGTTGAGCTGGATGTGATATATCCCACAATCCTCAGGGAGAGCCAGTCCTACTAAATGTCCACTCTCATGCCTGTACTCCACCCAGGGAGGCAGGTTTTCATTGGCCACAGGTATCTGTCAACATGTAAAAATGAGAAACAATACCATTCAGTTCTAGAGCAACACGAAACACCAAAGTGTTATTTTTCCAAATTTAGCAACAAAAATGTAAACAATAAAATATTTTGAGAGATTTAGGTAAATGTTAGACTTCACTATTTTGTCTAAATTCACAAAATAAATGTGCAAGATACATGACAACTCTTAAAATAAAACCAAGTAGACCTATTTCTGCAATCAGAACTACATATTCTTTCTTATTTTCTTAATTTAAAATATGAAACAATTGAATAGAGATGATAGACTAGAGTTTTGCACTCACCTTCAAATTCCCCATATGCTTTTGTGTTGCATTGAGAAGGATGCTGAAATGAAATGGAGACCCAGCCTCTGCAGTGAAGTTAGGAAAAGGGTTTTGTAGTTGACAATGTTGCATCTCACTTTGACTGTAGACCAATTTCCCCAGTAGCATCAGAAGTTGAAGAGAGAACTTCAAATTTTCCACCATGTTTTTTCCAAAGAGGCCATCGGTTAAGACATGATCCATATGCTCTTACATGCCAATTAAGATGTTGTACAGCTCCATTTAAAAGCTCTGGTAGCTTTTGCTTTTATAAGCTATTTCTTAACAAAAACATGCATGCATTACTCCACTTCTAATAAGAAAAATTTTGAAAAAAAAAAAAAAGTCTATCTTAAAGTCCAGTTGTGGTGCATGTTTGTGCCTGGGTGAACAAGATACTAAAGCTGTTGTAGAAGTACTCCAGTTACAGACAGGAGTGGAAAAAACTGTTACAGGAAACCTGAGGCATTGGCAAGGAGGAGAAGCAAGAATAGTTAAAGGTGCACTACGTAACTTTCCTGATGCAGGATTCAGCACCTGTTTGTTTTCTGTCTCCATGGAGGTGATGGAATAACAAATACACAACATGATGCACCGTTTTACAGGGCTCTATCCATCCATCCATTTGCTTCCCCTTATTCGGGGCCGGGTCACAGAGGCAGCAGCCTAAGCAGGGACTCCCAGGCTTCCTTCACCCCGGACACTTCCTCCAGCTCCTCCAGGGGGACCCCAAGGTGTTCCTAGGCCAACTGAGAGTCATAGTCCCTCCAGCTTGTTCTGGGTCTTCCCCGGGGCCTCCTCCCAGTGAGACATGCCCAGAACACCTCTCGAGATATATAGCAATAAAAGACAATATGAAAACATTTTGGAAAATACATAACAGAGCATGGAAATCCATCTCTATGATTCAGAGAAACTAAGAAAGCACATTGCTGAAAATACTAACAGATCAATCAGATAATCAAAGGTAGTGAGTTCCACTCCTGTGCCAGTCAGAGAAGGAGGTCTTCCCAAACTTTTTTCTCCTCAGTGGGACAACAGTCTCCTCTGACTGTCCCGTGTTTCCAACAGCAGCAGATCACACATTAACAAACTGCTGAAGGTACACAGAGGACAGGCCATGGACCACTTTAAATATTAAACACAAGTTAACAAATTTAATCAATCATCCATCAGTCATCTGTAAACTGAAGGAAGTGACACTGTGATGGGAGGTTTTTGTGTTAGCTGAAGGACAAATAAGCCTACAGTAAGGACCTTAAGAATGTAGCTGTTATTTATTAAAAAAGTCTTAACGAATGCTTATGGACCCCCATTACACCACCCACCTCTGTATAAAATCTCTCTGTTATGGTCAGTCTGTTTCTCTGTCATCACATGCAGCAAAGCTTGATCTCTGTTTGTGTATTAAACCACATTATTTTGTGGTCCTCATTTTTTTCTAACATCAATGAGAAATCATGATATCACACTGTGAGTGACATCTCCATGTGGATCACTTTTTTATGCTACGTGCTTTTATTTTTTAATAACAGATAACAAGTGGATTTAGGCTTTGCTCCTCTCAAAGCCGGCGTTCATCTTGTAGCTGCTCTTGGGATGGCTATCAACTGGCTTGGGCTCCTGGCAATAGGGGTATTTTACATTTTTGTTATAGCCATTGGCATCTGGGCATCAAGAAAGTCCAAACTTGAAGTGAAAAAATGCACAGGGAGACAAAGTGAAGTTACGATGGTTGGTGGAAGAAACTTAAATATCTGGGTCAGCATGTTTACCATGACAGGTATGCAAATTTTATGCTTAAAAAAAAAAATTGTCAATTTTTTAAAGAACAATTAAGAACACATTGAGTTAAAAAAAACAAAAAAACTCCAAACTGTATTTTGCATTTTTACATTACTTTAGCAAAATAGTTTTCTTTGTGAAAATAGGGTATGTGAAAGATATCACATGTGCATAACATTGTCATCTTGAGTTGATCCTAAGCAAATATTTGGGTATTAGGTTTAAGCACATATAACTACTCATTTCTTTAAAACATAGATAACATAATTAGATTTAAGATTTTGTTAACATCTTGCCTAATCTTTTCTCTTTCTTTTTTATTTTGGTGAAGGTGAATTTTACTTACTGATTGGACTCAGAAGATATGACCCTAACAAAATTACTCAATAGTTATGATTAGACTGAAAATAAATGATAGTACCTGTTAAATGTTAAATGTTTTATTAACTTGTTGATTTTAATACATTGTCTTTTTCACAGCCACCTGGGTTTCAGGTGGCTTTATTTTGGGCACTGCTGAACTAGTCTATGACCCGACCAAGGGGCTGTTGTGGGCAGTTGGACCTGTTGCCTTCGCGATGAACATGATTATTGGTGAGTGCTTATGTGCTTATACATATAATCTCTAAAAGAAATATTTTTAAGAAACACATAAAGCCCTCCTGGTCCTGGCTCCAGAGACACGCCTACACTTTTTAGTAATAGGGAAAACCAAAGCAAACCAAAGCAAACCAAGCTCCTACGATAATTGTTAGGCTCAAGAACTAAGCACTCGCTGTTAAGGCGAGAGATACTTTATTTATCCCATGGGAAATTCAAGTTTTTCTGCAGCAAACCGTAGTGCAGAGTTTTGCTGTAACATTTACACTGTGAGAGAAGCACAGTGTAAATGTGGCCAGGTCGCCTTTGTGTCTCAGTCAAAGATTATCTCTTAACAGCAAATCTGTGTCAGGGCAGTCTGAAGAGAGGTAGTGGCCAAAAGTGCCACAATCTGTGTCCTGCAGCATCACAGCAGTGTCTGGGGGAAGTCAGCTGAACACAAGAGGAAAGGCCACGTTCTTCCAGTTTAATTCTGTTTCAGGGGTTTGCTTTCCTCCTGAGCCTACTTCCTTTTGTCAAAATACCATATCCAAAAGCATTAGAAGGACAGAAAGATTGGAAGTGATTAGGAAAGGCCTACAGCATGTATAAAATGTAGATTAACACAATCTGTCAGCAACTTCTGATGTATCAAAGTGTATTTTTTGGTTTTGCAGGTGGATTGTTTTTTGTTACTCCAATGAGGTCAAAGAACTATGTAACACTGATGGACCCATTTCAGGAGAAGTACGGCAACACAATAGCTGCTGTACTGTTCATTCCTATTCTTCTGGCAGATATTTTCTGGGCGGCCTGTATTCTAGGTGCTCTTGGTAAGTCTTGAGCAAATATGGTAGGACAGTGCAAAGATGTGAAACCAACTGACTTATTTCTCTGTGATTTTGTGAACAGGTGCAACCGTGAGTGTGATTACGGACATCTCCAGATACTGGTCTGTCTTCATCTCTGCTGTTGTGGCCATTGTTTACACAGTGTTGGGTGGACTCTATTCTGTGGCCTATACTGACGTCATACAACTCATGTTTATGTTTTTTGGTTTGGTAAGATCTTTTATAGTGAAAGATATTTTAAATTATAGGGATGTGTTTGACAGTATTTTGTTCTATTCTCAGTGGCTCTGTGTACCTTTTATCCTGTCAAGTCCCTACTTCAACACCATCACAGAGTCTGCAGTGAACAGAATATACCAGGAACCATGGATTGGTCAAATAAAAATGGAAGATATAGGTTCCTGGGTGGATAATGTGCTACTACTAGTAAGTTTTGATAGTTTTGTAGAAAATGTAATCTTTCATAATTCATGTGCAGATTTTAAAGTTTTGTTTCTTAAAAGTCCATTTCAGGGATGTGTTATCAGGCTTTCTACCAGAGAGTTCTCTCCGCTGCCTCTGATGCTCAGGCTAAACTCACTTGTTTTGTGGGAGCAGTGTTGTGCCCAATTCTTGGAATCCCATCTGTCCTGGTTGGAGCTGTGGCTGCATCCACAGGTGTTTGTCCAAACAGTAATTCATAGACATAATCATTATTAGAACAAACACACTGTACAAAGTTTTCATAAATGTCACTGTAAATCTTGTTTCTCAGATTGGAACCAGACTTCCTTTGGGGGGCCCAGTCCTTATGAACAGGGCTTGGCTGGCCTCATCTTACCCATAGCTCTACAGCATCTGTGTCCTTTCTTTGTCTCTCTGGTTGGTATGGGCGCACTAGCTGCTGCAGTCATGTCCTCAGTGGATTCTGTTCTTCTGTCAGCTGCCTCACAAATTGCCAGAAATATTTACAAGAACATCCTCTATAAAAAGGTACTGACTTGACCTAGTGAGCTGTGTGAAGGGGTGCACTAGTTAAAACGACCTTAATTCAGAATATATATATATATATATATATATATATATATATATATATATATATATATATATATATATATATATATATATATATATATATATATATATATATATATATATACATATATATATATATATATATATATATATATATATATATACATATATATAAAATACCCTATGCATGAACCCTTCTACACCAATTTACGAGAGTTTGAGAAATGTCAGCCATGAGCCGACCTGTTTGTCCCCGAGTCCTGGAGGCATACAGGCCATGGAGACGTACAGGGCCTGGAAAGATGTGAGCTGCAGCTGATCACCTTCTCAGCAGAGTACACAATTAACTTCAGTCTGTTTCGAGAGTGTGTTGCTGCTTTATGTGGATGTTAATGAGGTTAACTTTACATTTCAGAATTAGCAGCTGCAATTTGCATGAGTTAAACAAATTAATTCTATGAAAGAAACTCCTCTTTATCAAATAATCTAGGTCATGTAATCAATTTAAGTTAAAATGCTAAAATGATTATAAATTAAAGTACATCTAATTTAAATCAGTTGCTCCAACCTAATGGGTCTTGTGTTTTTACTCAGTTAATATATATTAGATTTTCCATGCTTTTTTTTTTTTTTCTTTTAGGCCTCGGAAAAGAGCATAATGGTGGTAATCAGAGTATCCATTATCCTGTGTGGCCTGTTGGGGGCACTGCTGGGCACAATATCCACTTCTGTGGTTCTGTTTTGGATTGCCACTTCAGATCTCCTATACTCAATAATGACGCCCCAGGTCATTTGCACCCTATTTCTGCCCCATTGGGTGAACCACTACGGGGCCTGCTCTGGTTTTGTGTCGGGACTCCTCCTGCGAGCTCTGGTCGGGGAGCCACTGCTGGGTCTGCCCTCTGTGCTCCCTCTGCCCTGGGACAAAATTTTGGAGGACGGACAAAAACAACATGTGGTTCCTTTCCGCACAGCAATAGTTATAATCACCTTTGCAACAATTCTTCTTGTGTCGCAGATAAGTAGATGGCTGTCTGCTAAAGGCCTTTTAGGTGGAATATGTGTAACAAACTCTGATCTGAATGGCATGAAAAGAATTCCAACTGATGACAAAATTCAAGAACCTTCCCTCTGAAGAAAACTCCCATGGATTGCAAATTATATGTTAACTATATTTTTGTCACTAAGAGAAAATTTACTTGTTTTTTGGAACAACAGAACGTCTCTGTGTGTATTTGGCAGTCATGCTGCTGCTGTAATGACATAAGATTTAGGCTATTGAAAACAGAAAAAGTAGAAAAAAGCATTGGCTTGCACAATAAAAGTATACCTCTGGATCATGGCTATGTTTTTTTTTTATCCCTCAGTATTTTTTCAAGATGAAACTGGTTACATATAATCCATCCATGACTTGTGGTGGCTGTTTTATTAAATTTTTCCTGGTGATAATATTGATAGTAGTTTAAATCTATATGCGTGGTCAAACTATCTCAAGTTTCCTGTTATTGCTGGAAATCATGGAAGTATAATAAGATTTGAAAAATTGGTTTCAATGACCCGTGCTCACTGGTTCATATGGCTATATATTTTTTTTATTTAATAGCATGCACCAAATCCTAAGGTAGTTCTGTGCAATTACAGCATGTAGGTCTATATCAGGTGTCAAACTAAAAAAGTCTACACAAGCTCCTCCAGATGATGCGCAAATTTAATTTTAATTTCAGTTCAATAATTTATTCTTTGTTGGACTTCTCAACATTTAATACTATATGGCAAGTGTGTACTCCCATTTGACCTGGTTTAGCACAATTTACAAGGAAAACCATCCTGTTTTAGATCTGGTATACATGGTACAACCATGGTGTAGTTGTTGTCATGGTGGTTGTCATGATGGTTGCTATAGTGGTTGTTATTGTTGTCATGGTGGTTGTCATGGTGGTTCCTATGGTGGTAGTTATGTTGGTCTTGGTGGTTGTCATGGTGGTTGCTATTGTGGTTGTTATGGTGGTTGCTATGGTGGTTGTCATGGTGGTTGTCGTGGTGGTTCCTATGGTGGTAGTTATGTTGGTCTTGGTGGTTGTTATGGTGGTCACTATGGTGGTTGTTATGGTAGTTGCTATGATGGTTGTTATGGTGGTTTTCATGATGGTTACTATGGTGGTTATTATGGTGGTTGTTTTGGTGGTTGTAATGGGGGATGTTATGGTGGTTGTCATGGTGGTTGCTATGGTGGTTGTCAGGGTGGTTGTCATGATGGTTGCTATAGTGGTTGTTATTGTTATGGGGATTGTCATGGTGGTTGTTATTGTTGTCATGGTGGTTGCTGTGGTGGTTGTCATAGTGGTTTTTATAGTGGTTGCTATGGTGGTTGATATAATGGTTATGGTGGGTGTCATGGTGTTTGCTAAGGTGGTTGTTATGGTGGTTATGGTGGTTTTCATGGTGGTTGCTATGGTGGTTGTTATGGTGGTTGGTATGGTGGTTGTCGTGGTGGTTGTTATGGTGGTTGTGGTGGTTGCTATGGTGCTTGTTATGGTGGTGGTTGCTATTGTGGCTGTTACGGTGGTTGTTATGGTGGTTGTCATGGAGGTTGGTATGGTGGTTGTGGTTGTTGCTATGGTGGTTGTAATAGTGGTTGCTATGGCGGTTGTCATGGAGGTTGTCATGGTGGTCGTCATGGCGGTTCCTATGGTGGTAGTTATGTTGGTTGCTATGGTGGTTGTTATGGTGGTTGTGGAGGTTGCTATGGTGATTGGCATGGTTGTTGGCATGATGGTTGCTATTGTGGTTGTTATGGTGGCTATGGTGGTTTCTATGGTGGTTACTTATGGTGGTAATTTTGGTGGTTGATATCGTGGTTGCTATGGTGTTTGTTATGGTAATACTATAGCAACCACCATAGGGTCAGTTCACCTCAATTCACCCAATGAGTTAAACCCTACTTTGTCAAATTTTGATGAAACTTGGTATGCAGGTAAGATGGGGGTAAGTCAGCCTCTAGGTAAATTTGTGTGAAAATAAAAATGAAAAGCCCTCCAGATTTTTTATATGTTGTAGTAGATGTATAGGGCGACATTTTTTTTCTATTGATGTCATTTAGGTCGGGCTTGTCCCTTATTGTCAATTCCACGGTCAAAATATAGGTCAAAAGGTAATTCATCTCAAAAGTACTCAAATGAAAATACATAAATGCTTTTGGATTTGGAGTCCTTATGATTTCCCCTTTAAAGAGATACTTTGGTTTTTGATATTGGACCAGTAGTTGCTGAGTAAATGCAATTTGAAATTTGGCTCTTTTTTTTTGTGTGTGCAATTGGACAGTGTGAGAGTTCAAATTGCATTTTTGGGGGGTGAATTGAGGTGGAGTTACCCTTATCGGTAAGTAAGTGTACTATTGTTTTCTATTGCAATATTTATTTTCATTCTCTTTTTCCTGCTTTGGTTTTACATGGACTTTAAAGTCACATATTCACAGTTGTCATGAGGTTTTGTATTTATTTTGAATATTTGCACTGGATTTGAACCCGTGTAATGACTAAAATAAATCTAATCTATGTGGAGTTAATTGTCTTGCAAAATAGTCGTCACACAAATGACACTATGATACTTCTGCAGTATGTAACATACACAATAAAGGATGTCATGGCAATTGCCCAAAGCTCTGAACAAATCAGAAAAATCAACAAACTTTTGAAGTAATTTAGTCACCTGGAAAGGGTGACTACAGCTATCGGCTGTAGGTCTGGGTGCTTTGGCTGCTCTCAGGGAATAGAGAATGATAGTTTGTATCATTTAACATGGGTAATGTATATATTATATATATATATATATATATATATATATATATATATATATATATATATATATATATATATATATATATATATATATATATATATATAGAAGCTAGAGAAATACCAGGGCTCAAGGAAGAGCTAGAGAGCCTGGAAAGTAAAGGCATCAGTGTGCCTGTGGTGATCGGAGCACTCGGGCTGTAACCCCAAACTGGAAGAGTGGCTACAGATACCGGGAAAAACAACGGACATCTCAGTCCAGAAAAGTGCAGTACTGGGAACAGCAAAGATACTGCGCAGAACTCTCAAGCTCCAGGCCTCTGGTAGAGGACCCGAGCTGAATGAGGGTGAGAGAGACCTACCACCGTGGAAGGTGAGAAACACATTTTTTTTTAATTTTTATTATATATATATATAAGTTTGATCATTTTGATTACAGCAGGGATAGATATTGCTGATTTTACAGGGCTCCCTCTGTCCTGGGACAAGATACTGGGGGATGGGCAAAGACAACATGTGGTTCCTTTCCGCACTGCTCTATTAATTTTTAATTTTGGCATTATTTTACTTGTGTTGTAAGTAATGTTGAAGATAAAAGGTGGTGTTTCAAGAAGATAAGAAGAGATCACACAATACATCATGAAGTGCAAAGTCTAAAAACACATGATCAGTTTAGTGTTCACTTGTCCTGCATAGAATAATGTGATAACAAAGGCTGTATAAAGTTTTGCAGGACCTTAAGTAGACCAGGTCTTTAAAGTAACTTCAAGTGTCCAGTAAACTGTTATATAGACTGATGCACAACAAATAAAAAAATCAAATAATAAATAAAGATGAGATACTTAAAGTTTTCGCCTCAGTGAAGCTCACTTTATCTTCTCACTACTAAGTTTTTAAATTTAGATTTTGAACTCCTCTTATGAATCGTTGAGATGAGAGATAAGCTTTTAAATTTAATGAACTGCTCTTTAGGCTAGGTTTTTTCTTCCTAGTGTTAATATGATTGACTGAGATTCAGGAGCAGAACCAGACCTCAACCTCCCCCTGCTCTTCTCCAGCCAACCACAGCTCAGCTCAACTCCGCCTTCACTTACCCAGAAGCCCTATTTATGTAGGCTTATCCCAACAACATTGTTTGTCTCCGCACTCTTGACCTTCTCCCTCCCACCCTGTGTCTCTTGTTCATCCTTCAGCCTGAAGACATCATCTACAAAGAAGGAGGGGTCCTGAATTAGCTGGGCTGGCCACCTGAGACAGAGCCCCCATCCTCAGACTCCTCCCAGCCATCACATCTATCCATCATCAATAAATATCCTTATCTTATTGCATTGTTGTGGAAATGTCCTTGCTAGTGAAATGCCTTTAAAGTTTCAAGGTCTAATGGTCTAATGAGTTTAACAATTACAGACCATCTAACTTGGCTTAGTCTTAAGCATTTTTTATTTTTATTTTTTTGGTTGTTTTTAGGAGACAAAAGGGGCGCAGCATGCTATCTCAACAAGGGTAAACTGGCACATTTTTGGAGAGAATTCTTTTGTATTAAACATGGAGGTTGGAAGAAATTACAGGATCATTTGGATTTGGTCTTGGAACTGCTGGTCTGTACAGTCACTGACTCTGTGGGATTGTTACAGCTACTTTGGTAACTCTCCATCCAGTGACCTGTATGCCATACCTGCTGTATGCATAGACCAAAGACCTGACAGGGCTGTCGAGGATAAAGTGACCAAGTGTTTAGTCAAGTAAAGCGATTGGCTTATAAATCACTGGATGACCAGTAATTATAAACATATATAACCAACCACTATGTTTGAAACAGTAAAACAACATTTTCTGGTTAAGTTACTTTTAGTCCAATAAATGTAAACATTTTGAAACATGGCTAATGGTATGAAAGACCTGTGAACCAATGATCGTGTGTAATTACAGTAGAATAAATATGTGTAGGCCTATATTGTCTCCTGCCCTATGTTAAGTCTGAGGTGAAGTGACGTTATTGTTGTCTCTGTCCTGTTTGCGACACTTGCTCGGTTTTATGTTAAGTGTGACTTTTACCACCAGTCTGTCGAGGGACCACAGATGGAAATTGGCCTGTGACAAAAATATGGCATATGTAATATTTATCAAATATGTATGTTATGTTAGTATGTACTGTTACTTTTATAAACATATAAAGAAAGATATAGCCAGTCTCCCCATTCTCTCACGCCAACATGGAGATGCATACTTTTATCACCAGTCATAATGTCCTGTCTCTGGGCTATGGGGCCTGCTCTGGCTTTGTGTTGAGACTCCTCCTGCGAGCTCTGGTCAGGGAGCCTCTGCTGGGTCTGCCCTCTGTGCTCCCTCAGCCCTGGGACAAGATACTGGAGAACAGGCAAATGTGATCCTTTTGTAACCCTGCTTCATTCATTTTAATTTTAGCATTTCCTAAAACAATGCTGAAGACAAAACATGATGTTCATTTGTTGAATACAGATGTACAATAATGTGCATTTGTCCCCATTAAAAAGTGACTTGTAATGTCCAGTTAAGAATGAAAATTCAAATACTCTTTTATTTTTGGAAAAAGAAATTAAGGACAAAATGTGTTTGTTTTTATTTGTTTTTGTTTTACAATTTCTATGAAAAATCCAAAATATTGTCAACCAAAGTATTTTCTTCTTTATCTTTCAAATGAGCAATCCGTCAAAAATCACAACCATAGCAACCTGAAAATCCATCCAAGTTGTATATACACTTTTTTTTAAGTTGCAGAAAAAACAACATTTGAATTCAATTACAGTAAAAGTGTGAATTTTAAGGATTACTGTGATGTCTCATAATTTCAAGACATTTGACTTAAACGTTTACAGCAATTATTTACAAAGCTTTATCATTTACATGAAGCCTCCAAATAGATACCTAAAAGAAATGCAGTGATGTTTTTTTATGCTTTCAGCAAAGCGTCTAATTCTCATGTTGTCAAAGAAACAGTAATATAACCTTTTTGCTTGCACGTTTAATTATGGTAAAATGTCTCCTTTTTTAATGCATTATTCATGATGAATGTCCAGGCTCATGAAGTACTAGCAACTAGTAAACCAAATTCATCATTAACTCTTAATAGCATGTCAAAAGACAATCTAAGGTATTTTCTATTCTAGTATCATGAACAATTTATTTCACCTTGATGAGAATGCTGCAAGCAAGTCATTTAAAAAAGTAAGTTTCAGACATGATTGGAAGAAAAAAAGACCACTTAACATATCTTTCATCTACTCCTATATACTTTGAATGTCACAATAGTGGAACACATTGTTACATAATTTTTGTAACTAGCTTGATTTTTTTTTTTCCTCGAAATCCTAAAAAAGTCAATAATCATCGCTGCCTTCATCTTCCTCATCATACTTCCTCTTGAGCGAGTGCTTCTTGTGCTTACCCCTGTGTCTTCGTTTGGCCGCGAACTCTGGATCGGCCTCTCTGGCATGGAGCTGCTCGTGCTTCTTCAGGAGTCCAGGGACGGAGAACCCTTTCCCACAGGTCACACAGTTCCATGGCTTTTTACAAGTGTGCGTCCGCTTGTGCACATTGAGATGGGACGCTAGTTTGTACGTTTTACCGCACACGTCGCAGCTAAAGGGACGCTCATTGGTATGAAGACGAATGTGAACTTTGAGGTTGCCGACTTGTGTGAATGTTTTTTCGCAAAGAGTGCAGCGGTATGGTCTTTCGCGAGTGTGGATTCTTAGATGGACTCTCAAACAGTACTTGCTTGAAAACTTCTTTTGACAAACAGGACATGGGATCTTCGGTTTCGGGATGTGGTCTTGCTGGTGTCTCTTAAGATCGGACAAATAGACAAATGTTTTCCCGCATTGAGAGCAGAGATACTGGCGATCCCCAATATGATATCCCATGTGCCTTTTCAACAAGGCTGGGCACGAGGAAACGCTTACCGCATCGCTCGCACATATGGGGGCGGTCCCGGGTGTGCCAGCGTTCGTGATTGGCCAATTTGAATGCTGTTGGGAATGTTTTGTTGCATTGCTTACACGGAAACGTCATCTGGCTGGTGTGGCATTCCATGTGTCTCTTGAAGTACGTAGATTGGGTGAAGCCCTTGTTACAGATGTTACAGTAGAATGGTTTTTGACCACTGTGGGCAAGCATGTGTTTGGTCAGACTCTGCAGCTTCGAAAAGCACTTCCCACACTGGCCGCAGACATAGGGTCGCGTGGTACTGTGGGTCTTGAGGTGGTTATTTAGGAAAGCTTGGGTGCGGAAACTTTTGTTACAAGCGGTGCACAAAAATGGCTTCTCCCCTGTATGAATACGCTCATGATCGATTAGTTTGGATTGATAGGGGAAGCTCTTATCACATACACTACATGTATATCTATCTGAGGGTGGGCGAATCTGCTTTTTCCTTCTTATGCTGGGACTTGAGTCATCATAATCATAGCGTGCTGGAGGGAGCGGCGGGAGGGCAGGCAAAGATAGTGTATTGGTGGCGATTTGGGACACCCATTGGTGTAAAGTGACCCGCTGTGTTTGAGGTTTTTGGTTATCTTTACCCCCTGCGCTGCCTGGTGTCTGTGGAGTGGGCGATGCTTTGACCAGAACTGGGACCACTCTGATTGGGATAGATTTAAGAGGTGTCTTGAGCAAATCTGGTTTCTCTACATGGGACTGCTCTTGAGTTTGAGCTGTTTCGTCTTTCTCCTCATGTGGCGTGCGACCGACAGTATTTCCCTTCACTACGCTGCCCTCACCTGGTGGTTTGCTGTATTGCATGTTATCTTGAGCTGAAGTTGAAGTAGGGTTGGAGTTTTCGTCATCTTCGTCTGATATGACACCCAAGTCCCCTGTTTCACTGGGGGAATCGGGGCAGTTGTCAATCTGGGGGTCCTCAGTGGGTTTGATGGGTTCAGGAGGGGGAGGAGGGGGGTCTGCGGATTTTGGCCTGAAGGCAAGCGAGGTCAGCACACAGTCGCCCACAGAGGATGAGACAGTTGCTGCAAAATAAAGTGTAATGTTACAGTTTTGGTCTTTTTAATAAATAAAATATATAAAATCCTTCTGTTGCATGTAGCATGTCTGTTAAATGTAACAATGATACAGTACATGTTTATTACTACTACCTTATTGAACTACACTTTCTATACTTAATCGAATTCTTGGTGACACATTTCATGTCAAGTACCACCATAGGATAGAATTGAAGTGCCCTCACTAACAAAAATTAAGCATAGTTTGTGCAGATATATAATTGTTGCATTGACTAATAAGTAACTTACAAAAGTAAATTCTACATTGACTAATTGGAAATTGTAAGCAAATTGTAGTTTAGAGTTAGTTTAGAGCAAGATTATCTCATACATACCTTTTACCCCCAGCATTCCCTTTGCTTGCTGGTGCAAGAGAAGAGTCCTGAGGTCACCAGGGTCAGGGATGAAGCCTCCACAGGCCTCCAGAATGACAGGATCAGTCGAAATCATGGATCCCAGCTGAAGACAACATTTAAAATATTGACTTAAAAGGTGCACTGTGCAGCTTTTCGGTTGGGGGTGCATTACCATCTTGTTTCTATGGTTATGCCAATGCTCTGCTTAGAATGTTCCACAATATGACATTAAACAGATCTACCTTACATTGGTTCAATTATAGGTGGGTTTTTTTTTTTTATAGCTCAAGTAATTTCCCTTGTGGATCAATAAAGTCTGTACCTTCAAAAACAGGCATTCAGACTGTGAGTGGGGTTGCCTCTCCACTGATCTGACCTTTAAGTTGGACTGATTTGGTCTCCATGACGATTGAAAGTGTGAAATATAAAGATAAAGATATGATGTAAAAACTTATATATATGTGTATATACATATATATATATATACACACACACATTATTAATTATTAACTGCATAATGTAATCTTTGCATGATTTGGTAAAAGGCATGTATATGTCAAAGGGAAATAATTAATTCCATACCTGGGTGAGATTAGGAACAGGAACAAATTGCTCCAGTTTGCAAACCAGGCCAGCTATCAAAGCCTGTAGAGCAGTGTCAAACTTTGTACCATACTGTACTGGAAACACTTCCTGAAAATACAAAAATGATAATTATCCTTTGCTGAACATTACAACATTATTTGAAAATAGAAAATTAAATTGAACTGGTACCAGTGTTAATACCTTAAAGAATTGCTTTCGTTCAGTTGGACTTTTAAGCAGATTTTGAACAAGCACCATGAAGTTAGTTTGTGACTTCTCCACCTCTGTGTCCTTCTGCAACAAATAAATGACACAGTTATAATGCATACTATTTTATCATCCTTTGAATCACACAATTAAGATCAAACCCTTATCTTACCCCTGTTGTTGTGGGAACCTTTAACTTGTTTATTAGTGTTTGAATGGCTTTTGTATCTGGTTGGCCATCTTTGTTAAGCAGATCCAAAATAATCTGAAGAAAAAGAAATAGCAGATTAACAAGCAATATATCCTGCATTAATAGTAGACTCATTTGAAACTGCCATCTTCAATAAAAAGATAAATAAAACTACCTTTGCCCTGAGACCCAAAAGTAGCTGAGCCTTTTGTTTGTAGCTGATGATGTCAGGGACAGTCTGAGTGACCATATTCACAAACTCCTCCACCTTTTCATATTGGTTCACATTCTTTTGCTTTATGACCTGCCAAATGAATGCGTAAGTCAGCTGCAGAGGGGAGGCCATGAGGCGAAGGGAGGCCAGAGGCAGCCCGATGCCTGGAAAATAAGAAGAAGAAGAAAAAAAAGTATTAAAAAAATATTTATACTGTTGTATGTTGGGCACAATGCATTTTTCCAACGCAGTTTTTAATACACTGCAGATGATACACAATTTTTAAAATGTATGTTACAATTTAAATTTCCTCATCATAAATATATGTGGAGTTGTGTTTTGTTTCATTCACACTTTTAACACATAGACCCTGCACAATTAGGCTTTTCATTAGAGTTCTTCTCTCACACAGAAAACACTTTGCTCCACCTTTTGATGTCATGTGGTAATACAGGAAGTGCTCCACTGTGTTTTTAAACTCCATACACCTTCACTAGACTTTCAGACCAGGACTTACCAATCTCTACTGAACACAGATAAAAGCTGTTAGCTGTTAACTTAAAAACGCTGCATGACTATCACTCGGTGGAACAGAGCATTTGGAACTTTGGAGATGCAGACAGACTAATAACAAATGATTACTCAAACATGTGTGAATGAAAAAAGAAAAAGAAACTCCAACTCCAAGTATGTTTTTGAGAAGATAACGAACATTCTAACAGGTCTTAAAAGCTCACTCAAGAGTCAATTTTGCGTAATATAGGACCTTTAAGCAAACCTAGATCTAATTGTTTCAAATTATCATTGATCATCTTGAGGCTTTTGAAATCGACAAGTCTACACAAAAGTACAGAATTTTGGGGGATAACTACTTTGTTGTTCAGCACAGAAAACCCTGTAGGATTACTTTTGTGTTGTTGATTATAAAAGTCTATTTATAAAACATATACTAGGCCTGCATTTCAAAATAATACGTAATAAATGAAAGTAGTGATGCAACTTGATCATACTTTTCTTATGTGGTGTTGCTGGTAGTCTGGGCTAATCAGTGGAAGTTGCGTTACGCTATCTATGTAAATGTATGATGTGTGTAGAAGAACACTAGACTGCGCATATAACGGGGGCGCTGCTGCCAATGTGCACTTTTTGTGCACACAGGACGTGCAAAGGGTCTGTGACGTCGCAGGCATAACGAGCGCCAAACTTCATAATTTCGTGACTAACCCCTAAGAAAAAAGTAACAGCTGAAGTTATTAATCAAGTTCGAGTTTACATGAGTTTACATTACAAAACACACTGTCGCCGGAAGGAAAAGCTACTAACGCTGAATTGGAAAGAAAGAAGATTGCGCAGTGTGATTTGCAAATTGCAATGCATAATTCATAATAGTACGATCGACTGCGAGTATTTGTATTATAAAGCACGTTGCACCGGAATAAAGGCAACAGATGTTAAATGCAGTGTGGATGAGCTTATTTTCTAGAGCCGTGTCCTCCCAGAAGCGCGCACGCAGTTAGCTCGCCATCGTTAGCTTGACTCACCCACTACGTCCGATCGCCGGTGCATCCTCGGCGGAATCCGCAGATACTGAGCAGACTGCACAAATGTTGGTTGAATATTGCAGTTTAACTCGAAATATCACTTAAATTTCACTTATCGGCCTAGGTGTCGTCAGTCAAGCCACGGAGAATAATGGCGACCGCTGGCTCTGGGCTTTCCACAACAAAAGTCTGAGAACATCCGGCGGAAGTCACTGTTTGAATAAAAGCACAGCGTGTCCCCTTCTCATCATGGATCTATAATAAGAATAATAAGAGAAGAAGATTTTATTATAGTTCTGTGCTCCTCATGAACAAGAAGAGAGCTAACAGGGCAATGATAACAAGACTGCAACAATATCATGCGGACCCACAAGGTTTTCATTTTCAAATCCAGAGTCATAAATTAAACCGGTATTAGGGAACCTATACCCATCTAGTAACAATACAGAAGCTATTTAATACAATTTTAAAATGTACGTGTTCTTCTAATGTTCTTGATAGATTAGGAGTCTATTGCAATTTAAGACAACACAATCAAACATGAGTTAAAAAAAAAGTTATATATAGCCATGAGGCAGTTTTTCATCTGTGATGCTTATGTTAAAGGGGCTGTTCCTTGATTGCCTGGAATGTTCCATGCACGGCATATGATCTATATTAATTAGGAGTAGGCCTATTAATTAGTGTCTTGAAAACATGCACTCTCTCTGTGGTTGTTACTTTGCAGATCTTACATGGCTTGATACAGATGGCTCCATAGATAACCTACATTTAAAATCATAGACTACTGTGGAGCATTCTAGGTCTGTGGCTCTCAAACCTTTCACACAAAGCAGAGCACACTGTGTAACTTTTCTGGTGGGGAGTCCGCCACCTGCTTTGTCTTGAACATTTCTCAAAACTCAAATCTATAAATGTTTTGTCCTCCTGTGATGTATTCATTATTTAAGATTACCTCATCTAATGTTATCTTAGATCCAGTTTATTCTCATTTTATACCATTTAGCCTAATTTAGTCTAATTTAGGCTAAATAGCCTAATTTAGGATTTAGGTTTAAAATGAGACTAAACTGGGTCTATAACATGTAACATTAAATGAGGTAGTCTTAAATAATGATTATGTCAGAAGAGGACAAAACATTTATAGATTTGACTTTTGAGAAATGTTCAAGACAAAGCAGGTGGCAGACTCCTCACAAGAAAAGTTACACTGTGTCATTTTAAAGTAGGCTACTCAGGTTCATTATGATCTGGTCACCCAATACAAACAGAACATAACTAATCAAAGATTATTGTTGATTAAAACTTGTGTTGTTGAAAATGTAGGCTTATAAAGCCTGTATCATAGCCTAAATGGTTGTTTCAAATAGTTTAATCTTGAAATTGACCATGTTGATAAATAGTTTTACATGGGTAAAATATTTCACATTTCAGTTTTGTATACAGTAATTACAAGAAATAGTGGCATCAGTGGTCAAATGACCAAATATTATAACTTGCCTTACATATGCACAAACATAAGTAGAATTTTATAAATTTACAATTTCACACATTTTACATTTAGCATTTGTTTCCATGTTTAAAATGTATAAAAAGTTATTTCTTAAATAAAAATATGACAATAAAATAAGACCACATAATGTTTTCACAACATTCACACACATTGGTCCAGATATTGTAGACTTTGTCTACTGCATTGTAAACACATTTAATACAAAGATATGAGCAATTTTCCAGTTTGTTTTGAATGTACATGATCTGAGCACAGATAATTGTTGTGGAAAACCACTGCTGGGGATGGGGCCCATTCGCCTTGCGGTCTGGAGAGATTCTTATCCCATTGATTCATGGGGATCTGCCGACTTCAGTGCTGTTTGTAAGAGGCATTTCCTCCAGCCTACGGCCAGCCTTTTGTAAGAGGAACAAGTCTCCCTTATGTCTGTGTCTGAGCTCATCTGTCCATCCATCTCACTATCGCTATCTCTCCTTTCCCGTCCTCCTCCTCTCTCTTCTCTCTCTCCCTCTCTCTCCTCTGACACATTCAGTACAGGGCGCTCACTGGAGGAGTCATGCTCTCATGACTGACTGGCTCTGACTCAGTGAACACTAAAACACACTGCAGCAGCAGCTATAGATCACTGGTGATGCTTTGAAACACAATGACAGGATTCAAGGACCCTGTGGCCATGGCAATGTGCCATCTGGTCACATCTTTGATACACAGAGGCCCACATTTGTCCAAGTGCTCAGCCACTTGTTTGTGACCAGAACAGGTTTGCAGTTTGTGACAGATCATAGCAACGTCAACAGACAGCTGACAACAGTAGACCAGATTCAGGCTTGTTTTTCACAACAAGTTTTTACCAGTTTTAGGGTGCTTTACACACTCATAAAGACACCATTGTTAGGAATCCCTTTCTATATGAATTCTTTGAGCTGACCGCAAACTCTAGTTACCCTTCACAATACAGTAGTCTGTGTAACCAGCAGTTCATAAATGGATTAGTCCAAAGATGAAGCCTTGCAGACTTCTACCATCTGCATAGAACTCTCTCCACCATGTTATTTGTAGTTCATAACAAAAGTGACTTTTTAGCATTAGCAAGACTGTTAAAACACATCCACAACATGAAACACACTTTGGCAGACACTCAGCCGCCATAGGGCACTCTGCATGTTCCCCTGGTCTTATAAGTGCACTAACCGGCTCCTGCTCTTGAGTGTGTGGAAGTGGAGAAAGAGTTGCGACCGCAGTGGTGAAGCCTCTGTGGATAAGCCTGCATACATTTATATAGTCCTCAGGCTGCTGTTTCCGTCTATTTACGTGCATTAATTGCGTTTCATCCACTCTGGTGCTCCGGGGCGGTCTCCTCTGCTGCTCTGTGGTGGGCGATTGTTTGGAGTGGGACGGAGATAGACACACTCGAGATGGTGTCAGAAGGTGGCGCTGGGTTATTTTCAGAGTTGCAGGCTGCAGACGGCCTCTTGGACTTGACCTGAGAGGGAAGAGGATAATGAGGAGTTTATATGCCACTCAACTTTCAGAGATGAGAACTTGTTTGATCTACTTTGTTTCAAGCATTTTAAAAAGTTATGTATTGATGTCATAACTAATTAAACTTGCAAAGACTAGCAATAATGGTGAAACTATAACTGTTTTCTATGCCTTTTTCACACATGGCAAAAGACTACCACTGAAAATCAACTCAAATGATTGATGTTGATTAATGTGTACTGTCCCTTTTCAAAAATAAATAAATAAAAAATATGGTGTTATATTTTGTGTTTATGTAATTTATTTAGTTGGAAGAACTGGTCGTAGTCTGGCTGTAGTCCTACATTTGGTTTACTTGTAGATTTATCAATAGAATATTTTATGTTTATGTAATTTATTTAGTTGGAAGAACCAGTGTTAATCTGGCTTTAGTTCTACATTTGGTTTATTTGTAGATTTGTCATTATAATAGACACTGGGAAATTATGCATCATTTTTGTAGCTGTTACGTTTTGCCCATACTTCAATGGGTCCAACACTGTAGGAGCAGAGGACAACTTTATCGACTTTTTGATGAGTAGTTTCATAGACTTTAAACTATTGAATTAAATTGAGTGAACTGCTTCAGGATGGCAAGATGACAAGAGGTTGGCCTCCTGTGACACCTCAGCCACATAGCTTAAAGCTGTGTTTCCTAAACTTTTTTTCTGGGGATCCATATTTTAAAAGTCACAAACCTTTGTGACCCAAGTCAATATATTTGTAAATCACAAAATTTACTGAACATTAATGACGATATTTTATTGTTGACTGAGTGATCGTGTCTCTCTGAACAATTAGTATTACTCAAGTTTTAAACAATGAAAAACAGTAATTCAACCGGAAATAGAAGGTATTCATAAGTCGCCTATTTGGACATTAAATGTTGCCCATTCTTTTTCTTTTCAACATTCAATTGAACCAGCAATACTGGAACTAAATAGTCACTCATTCACTCATGTCAGAACTGTGTATTGCAGACCTACATGCAGATCATGACAAAGCAAAATCTCTTGCGGCCCACCTGAGAGTTGCAACCCAGTCTTTGGCAAACATGGCTTAAAAATGGCTTAAAGGGCCAATACTATACTATTTTCTGATCTATTTTATTATGTTTTTTCCTCATAAAAAAAATTAATAAAATAAAATACCTAAAGTTCTTTCATTCACACATGTTTAATACAAAACTCTTTCACATTTAGGCAGTGTTCTTCTCTCAAACTGAAAACACTCTCTTCCACATTGTGATGTTGTATGGTAATATGGGAAGTGATCCACTGTGTTTTTAAACTCCATACACCTTCACTAGAATCATTTGGATAATTCTTGCCCTGGAACTGCCAATCTCTACTGAAACTACTACTTGATGATATCAGAAGGTGTAATAGAGCATTTTGAGCTTTAGAGATGTGGACAGGGTAATAATGAAGGTTAACTCAAACTTGTGTGAATGAAACAAAACAAGAGGTATGTTTTTGAGGAGATAACATTATAACATGACTTAAAGCTCACAAGAATCAATTTGGCATAATATAGGACCTTTAAGGATCAATGAGCTGTATGAGTGAGTGACTGGTAGTGGTCAGTGTTGGCGCAGACTGGCAGATACCTCTCTGTCAGTCCTCCCCAGGGCAGATGTGGCTATAGTAATGGCACCTACAACTGACTATATATAAAATGTAAAGCATCTTTGTGGGTCCAGAAAGTGCTATGTGCAAATCTGCATGCAGTAGGAATAAGTAAACCCATATAAAATCAAAGTTGTGAACTGAGTCAATAGGTCCACATGAACATCTCTGTAGCTAATGTGCTGTAGTATGTTGTTTGGTATAGTGGATTAATGGCATCACATAAATATGATTACGTAATGCAATGAGGAAGTGGTGAAGTGCTGGTGCTGAATATTTGATGCTTAGTTGTTAATTTTACAAGAATGGCCTTCCTGGAAAGTGCTCCGTAATAATGGGGGCACATCCTGCAGGGTTTATAGGCGAGATCCGCAGAGACCAGAGGGCACATGAGGGCCCAGAGAGAAAGGACCAATCATGAACCACCACTGACCACAAATGAACTGCTGTCGCTCAGATTTACGTTTTATTTATGCTTCAGACACAAGAGAGCTACCGGTATCTGAATGGTGTTACTGAGTGTCTTGACATGTTCATAGTATAACAAGCTGCAGTTTGTGTGTAACATATGGATCTGTGGTGCATTGTAGTTAACTCAAAGTGTAAAATAAGTTAAATGAGTTCCTACATTTGCTTTTTATGTGGAAATTCACTTGTTGATTTGTTAAACTTACCAGCCACACCACAAGTACAACACAAGCTGTGATGGGGATGAGCAGAAAGAGCAACACTATTCTGCTTTTTGGATGTCCCCCTTCATGGCTCCCTGTAACAAACAACAAACAACAAACAACATAAGTTATATTTAACAAACTATAAGACTTGAATTTTCACATGAACTCCATGTTTCACACAAACTGCCACTAGGACACCCTGATGGAACAAGATATCAATTTCTAGATCTCGAGCTCGACTTGTTCAGAACTACCTGTATTTTACTTATGTGTTCATGTTTTTGGTTGATAAGAGAAACTGGAGAAAACCCACCTGAACACAGTGTGAAATATGAAAACTCAGTACAGAAAGGCAAAGGCCAGCCATTGGGTTTGGATCTAGGGTCTCATCCTTTGAAAGCTAGCCACATTTTAATATATGTAAGCTACTGGCTTTGACTCTAAACTTCACCCATCAATCTCTCAATTCAAAATAAATATTTAATAGTATCAACATTAACTGCAAAGTGCAAAGGTCATCCAGTATTTGCCCTTTGTAATGTGACACAGCTGTGCCTCTGTGACCCCACAATCAATAGAGCGCACTCAAAGCATTTTCATAGTTGTAACATCCGCTTGTTGTGTGCCCAAAGGAAAGATGGTGTACCTGGAGAAGTGTGAGAGTTGAGACACGGAGGAGGTTTGCAGGAGAGGCTGGACGTCTCCTCTGAAGCTGTGTTTAAAACGTCGTTGATGTAATCGAAGTAAAGACCGGACAAGAAGGAGCCCTCTTGATAGTGGCACTGGAAGAGCTGCATTGCTGTTTCCTGTGGACCATGAACACAGTGCACTCAAATAACACTCTTCTTTCCACTTTCACTATTCCCATTTTGGATTACAACAGTCACTTCCTTACTGGGCATGACTCACATATGAAAGGTTTTTAAATACATTATCTTGTGACTCTTATGGCTAGACTGGACTAAAAATAAAAGGCTTAGCTGGCAGTTTTTATTTCCATACAGGGTTATTGTACTGTTGTATTGTTGTGATTTGGGGCTATACAAAAACAAATGAAACTGAAGTGACATAGTTATATAAATTGAATTTTACAATAATAAAGTATGTATTTTTTGTACCTTACCTTCATGTAGCCAATAAATGTTTTGTAGTTGCTAAACAATAAATCTGATGTGGGTGGCTGGAATGGTTCATTCAGTGAGGACAGTCTAGAGTCAAATATGTTGTTCCATTGTTCTGAACTAGTGTGTTTCCTTTTAGAGTCATGCAAAATATTCAATAGCTGGCTCAAGTGAAAAAAATAATAAATATGGATATCCTAATTAAAATAACAAGTCTATTACAATGCACAGTTTATTAAAGTGCAAAGTCTGTTCATACATTATCTGACTCACCAGCTCCTCATGGTCAAATGTGAAGCGTAAACTTTTGAGCATGGCGATGAAAACCACAATGTTGTCTTTATTGGATGAAATGGCTCCAAACATGTCAGAAAGCCTTCTGAGACTCTGCTCCAGAGGATAGATGTTTAACACCACCCAGCACCTGCCAGCCTGCACAAAGACAAACCACAACTTAAACTACTATTTTACACATAAAGCAGTTTCACATTAACTTTATTGTACATACCAGTTCTTTGGGAATATATTGAACAGGAATCTCATAATCAGAGGGGATATTCTGCTTCTGCATTACGAAAAAAAAAAACATGCATTGAGAATAGGTTCATTCCAAATTTTTTCATGTGTAAATTAAAAATGTTAAAAAGCCCAGTAAAACATACTTTCCACTTTAGAAAATGGGGATTGGAGTGGGTTGTTTTAAACACTACACTTGACATACTCTTGTGAAATTTAAGACTTGTTATAATGTTGTTACCTCCTAAAAAGATAACTGGGGTTGTATTTTGTTTAATTCACAAGTATTTGAGTAACACTGCATTATTATCTGTCTAGATCTCCAAAGCTCAAAATGCACTGTTCCACCTTGTGATGTCATGTAGTGGCAGTTTTCAAGTTAATAGCTTTTACCTTTTGTTCCGTAGAAATGGGCAATTACAGGGCTGAAATGATACAAATGATTCTATTAAGGTGTATGGAGTTAAAAAAATACAGTGAAGCACTTTATTACCACATGACATTACAAAGTGGAAGAGTGTTTTCCATTTCAGAGAAAGTCAATACTAAACACATAGGGTTTGTGGATTAAACATGTGTGAATGAAACAAAACAAAACTCCAGGTATATTTTTGATGAGGAAACAGCATATAACATACATCAGAGCGTAATAAGGCCTTTTAAGCTATGCATTGTTTTTATGCTGCTAATAACTTGGACCTGAGTACAGTGTTTTGTTTCTGTGCATTTTTTTTTATACTGAAATGACAAATAAATTTGATTGTGATCTCCTCCCTGCTATCATCCATCAGCGATCGTTATGTTTCTTTTCACTATACATCCGCAGATTTCCTCTTTGGTCTTCTTCTGGACATCCTGTTTCCTGGCAGTTCTAGCCACAGCATCCCTCTTGCCATAAACTCACCACTGATTTGGCAAATGTTCTAGTATTATGAAGTGCATCGTCTTGTTACATGTCTTACCAGTAAAGCCAGTGTCCTCACATCGTCTGTGATGGGTTGGCCAAATTTACCGGAGCACAAATTCAAACTTGTGAACAAACTCAGGAGGAGATAAGGAGCACTCACGATCTGCAAATGAGTACAGGGCATTTTTAAGTTAATTACACACAATTCTGTAAAAAAAAAAAAAAAAAAAAAAAAAAAAAAAAAAAAGAAAATGCCACACATTTGTTGAGTGAGTTAAAACCTCTATCAAGATACTAGTCCTAGTCCTAGTCCTACATATACTGTATATGCAATGATAAGGTATAGTGAGAAGACTGGGACACAGATTGTCAAAATATGCCAAATTGTTCTTTCACTCTGAAACTTTTCTGGTGGAGGAACTGCCCCTTGCTTGTGTTTGCATAGCATTTTTGAATATTCATTGTTATTGTGAGTGGAGCATCTCTTTCCACAGCTCTTACTTGGCCTCATGTTGTAGCAGGCACAGTGTAACATTGTCACAGAGACAAGAAAATGAGGGACCCCACTAGAAAAGTTACATAGTGCACCTTAAAAACACTTGGAGGTGTTAAGACGCACGTAGGTCTGTCACAGTATTTACTATATTGATTTATTGTTCAATAAAAAAAGCTCAGTATTTCTTAACAATAGTGGTAGAGATTTTCTTTTACATTTTTTTCTGTACTATGATACGATTTGAGCTGTAGAGAATAGAATAAATAACTCCTATGACTATTTATTGGTTCATTCAGCTATTTATTTGTTGCAGCTCATGTCATATTACAAAACTAGATTACAGATATTATTATGCTTTGGGTCAGAAGCATAAAGTAGTTTGAATATTATAGTTGACCGTAATATTTCTCTGTAGAAATTTTCTGTGCTTTCAAATTTGTTATCATGACAGGCCAAACTGTAATTATGTCCTTTGCATTTGACGCATCTTTGTGCAACAGGATATCAAACCCACAACCTTCTCGCTCTGGGTAGTACATTATCCCTACCTCACTAAAACCTCTTCTGTTACTTAACACTGGCGTATAACAAATATGATGCATTTAAGCCTACCATCAGTTTTATAAGCCCGTAATGGTCCATCTTTAATGCACAGTTATCGACATCGCCGCTGGACGCTGACCAGTTAAACACCCACATACTTTTGACAACCATCCTGCCTTCTCCTCTGCAGACCGCTTTTGCATTCATGTTCCCCACCCCCATTTTGTGATCCATCTGAGACTCAGTACAGGAACTGACCAAAACACGGCAAACATGAAAGCTTTCAGTGCATCCATTAATGTGCCAGGGCTGATTGGAGGTTAATTGTAACGGTATCTCACTTATTATTGAATATGGATAATGTTACCAAATGGGAGGGGGATGTTTATGAGTACACTGGTAACATTTAGGGCTTATTCACCAAAGTATTTTAAGCTGGCTGCTGGCAATTAACAAAACATAAGCTTGAATAAAATACATAAAATGCTCATTGATGTTTCAAAATTTTAAACCATACCAATAGTATTTTAATTAAATGAACAAATATGCTAACATGTGCACCATTTGGTTTGCTCAATAAGAAAACTGGCTGTAAAAGAAACTGAATACAAATTTATAAAAGAAAAAAAAAAAGCTGCTCAGACATATTACTTTGTATTGTAGCTAGAAGTATTACCACATTGCTACAACATTACTGTATCATATTACACATTTTATTATATTTTGCATGTGGTTTCTAAAACTATAGTGACATAAGTACTAAAATGCTTCCAAAAGGCTTGTAAAAAGCACTATACATCCCTTTAATAGTGAGGGGTTGCTATCATTTTAAGCTATAAACCAAAGAGTTTACAAGTTTCAAGATGGAGTAAGTATTTATGATCTGTCTTTAGTCTAAGTCCATGGCACGAATTACCCAAAGGTCCTAATTTTTGGATAAGATCTTTTTGTCTTTATTTTTATTGTGAGAAACCCTTTTGAAAAATACAAAAAGACTTCAAGATATATACTCCCTGGATCAAAAGTATTCAGATTGTACCATATGTTCATTACAAACTGATTTTGAATTTATCTTTAGCACTTTAAATAAAAAAAAAAAACAAAAAACAAAAAACAAAAAAAAACTGTCTTTCAACTTACCAAAAGCAACACAAGTATAATACATATTTTAATTGTTGACAATAGGATCATTTAAAATAGCTCTTAATGCATTGTTAACATTCATTGAAAGCCCACGTGCATCATTTACTCAGTATATTGACTGGGCAGTTCTTGTGTCATCTTACTCAGCCTTTTAGAACTACACGCATTTACATTATGGCAGCTTAACACTGTAAAACGTTTTTGGCTGCAAGAGTGTATTTTACATTAAGCTTAGGCTATATTTTTGGGGTTTTATGGTAAATAAAGGGATATAGGGTACTATCTAAATTTAGGGACACCGAGTTAGGCCTATTGTAGGAAAAAAACAACAAAAAAACAAAAACAAAAAGAAGAAAAAAAAAACACATGCTATCAGTGCCAATTGCAATTTGGAAAAAAAGATAGATGACTAGATGACTTGGAAAACATAAGTAAATGCATTTAATTGTTGCCTATACAATAGTTGCAACTTTTCTATAATAAATACACAGAATGCCAAAGTTGCGCTTCTTTTCTCTATTTCTTCAATAACTTGTGGCATGGAAATCATCACTCCATAACTTTACGCACGCATATTAATCAAAAACCAAAAAGTAAACCAAACTTACTTTCTTCCTCATATGGAGCAAAAAGCCGAGGTTACCCGTATCCACTGCATCAAAATCCCGTATTTCCAGTGCACTTTCTCCCGCGGTCAGAGCGTGGCGGTGAACGTGTGCGCGGCGGTGTGCGTAAGGTTCGCGCATAGTGTGTAGTGAGAGTGTAGACGCGGCCCGCGCTCTGCTACCAGCTCGCTCTGCTCCAGACAGATTGGTGAAGTCTTTTGACGGTAGAGAGTCCGCCTACGAGCTGAATCACCGTGTCACACACATGCACAGACACACGTTCACGCGCACTTTGCACATACACACGCACGCTCACGCTGGTGCTGACACTGTCTGAGACTTCTCCATAAACTCCCACGTATCAATTTTGAACGTACGTCATAGATAAGTGGGCGCTTGCTCGCACATAGAGGAATATTTGGCTTTTTAGATGTAACAAGGTTATCTGCCAAGCTTTACAAGTGGACAGTAGCCACAGACTTCAAATAACTTCTTTCGTTTCAGTTGGCCTTAGAGGACTTTCGCAGACAACTTTAGGCCGAAGCTATATATCAGATTGGACTAGATTAGAGTAATTGACTGGCTACCTATAGTCTGAATTATAACTGCTGATAGCCAAGGGATGTAGGCTATCAATTACATTGCATTTGTCAAAGTGGTTTTCTGTAAAGTATCAGCTATACAAACATTATAATAAAATTCAATTGATTTTAATATTTTAAAAGGTTTCTCAGTCAAGTGTTTCTGTGGTGCAGCATAAAATGTCCTGTACACATTATTATTTCACATGCACACATTATTTCCTCAGTTTAAAAACATTCGACCAGTATTTAAATGTGTAGTGATCTTTGGATCAATACAGAATTTACAACACAGATCCTTGTCTAATTGGATTCATTTTATATCACACCATATGCTAAAATGCCAAACATCATATTGTGTGTCCTTTGAATCAGCAAAAGAGTGACCTACATCCCTATTAATTAATTAATATCATGTTTCTGGACTCAAGCTATATGTAAAAAAAAAACAAAAACTAATATTCCATATTATTGATTGGCCAATGCTTCCCAGAGAACCCAGAAAAACAGCTCCACGGAATAATTTAAACTGAAAATAAAACAAATCATATCTCCAAATATGAGTGTGACATAACAATATTGTATTCAAAATGCATGATGCTGCGTGTTACATACAAAATGACCATACTCTGTGTTTTATTATATATTTAATTTAAATCTAAATATTCTGAATATAAGACTGAGACACTAGTGATAATAGATTTGAAAAGGAATAGAGTTTGATTTTAGCATTACTACACGACTACATTAAAAATGCATTGAGTGTCCTTCAGTAAATGTGGAGGCGTTGACTTTGTCTTGTCTAATGACGCCATGACTGATGAAGTGAAACCTTTTCCCTGATCAATTACCTTTAGTCGATCAATAACAGTGACTGGAGTAGTGTCTGTGTAAGATAACCCACATTACAAACACTTTAATCTTTGCCATCAGATTATTCACAATTCTTCTACTCCACTGTATGTAAGCGAGTAGAGTTAGTAATACTTTGTTCGCTGAAATCTGGAGTAAAATAGTTATGAGCAGACGCACAGCTGACTTGGCAAGTTAAAGCGGGGCAGGCCACATCTAAAAATATACTACTCACTCTGAGACCCTGCAAAACAAAACACACAAGCTAACTCCATGCTACACAACTAAAGACAACTTAACTGCTACAACATCAACAGGTGAGGAGACACATTCACCTCATTATGAACTTATGATTGCCTATAGTGGGGTTTAACTGATATTGTGTTAGAAACATTTGCAACATTCAGAGATATAAAGTACATGGATTGTGTTGTCAACAAATGTCCTTCAAAATCTTTTGTCTCTGAATATGAGAATTGTGTAAATATGTTTTCTCATTAGAATGAATAACTTTGAACGAGAAGAAATAAATGGGGAACTTATGGAGTTTGGTGTTCAAGAGAGTATCCGGGATTCATACAGACAGCCACAGCGCAGGTACTACTTATGCTACTGTCTTAGCACATATGGGACATGCTCTTTATCATTACTCCTATTTAAATTAGTTTTTTCCTCAGAATTACAATATTTGTTATGGTGTACATTCAGATAGATAGGGCTAAGGATTTGTGACATACAGGCTCTTAATATTTCCCAATGTCTAACCACTTTCTCATCAATGATTGTTGTACTCTAAGGTCAAACAAGCTTCTGAGAAAAAAATAAAGGTTAAAGGTGCACTAAATTTTGTGGAGGAGTGTTTGCAACCTGCTTGTCTCCATGGAGGTGTGATTGCTTTGCCTGGAATGTCACACTGTATGGCATTTAACTTCTGTATCTCTGTGGACACAAGAAGATAATCAGGCCACGTTACAGGTCTGTGGAGAGGTGTTCCCACTCACAGTTTTTCAGTTGAGTAGATGAAACATGTAATTGAAAAAATGCAATGAGAAAAGTTACACAATGCAAAAGGTGAGACAAAGCCCGCACACTTACTCCCAAACTGCATTTAATGAATCGATCAGTGGATCTTTGTAAGGTGTGAAAAATCCCTCAATCATCCAGGTAGAATCCATGTCAAAGGAGATATTCAGTTTGTTGCCTGGACAAGAGTTTATATGGTCAAATATGTTTTGCAGCTCAGCATTAACTGAAGAAGCAGCCTGAATGAGCTGCGTAACATGTTCAACCATATAAACTTTTGTCCAGGTGACAAACTGAATTTCTCCTTTGCCATCTTTGTCAGATCATAATAAGTAAGTAAGTATTTAAAGACACAGAATTTTCTTTATGTTTTCAACAGGAAAGAATCAAACAGCAAAAATTTTACAAGGATAATGTCAGCCATCCAGAACGGTATTGTACTGAGTCAAACAAATGTCCATGAGCATTTTAACATCCTGTATAACCTGATAAGTCTGTGCGCAGGTGATGTGTTGACTTTACAACAGCTGTCAGAGCACCCGGCCTCCTTCAGAGAGAGGGACATCCGCGGGTGGCTCCCTCTGCACTCAGCGGCGGTTCATCCACACATACAGGTCCTGGAGGCTGTGCTACAAGGTGAGGCCCACGATCTAAATTTTAATTTAAAGGTGCATTGTGTAACTTTTCATCAGCTTGCCCCCACATTAAACTTGTCTATGTTGCATTTATTCAGTTACAGAAATTTTGCTTAACAATGCCTTGATAAAGATGCATTATTACAGTGAGATGCTGCTTGTCGCCTTAGCAATAAAGTACCTTAATATCACACTTTGGAACATTCCAGCAAAGCAATAACTTGTCCATCAAAACAAGCAGATGGCAGACCCACTACCAGAAAAGTTATGCAGCGCACCTTTAAATCTACCATCTGTCACCAGTAGATGGAAAATGTGAAACCTGTTCCCCCTCCCCTCACTTAACTATCAGTCAGAAGTAAAGTAGATAGCATCTAGTGGTGTTATGTGAGAATACATCAAGACCAGGTCGAAGACATTTTTATTACAGTCAGTTTTCACAACAAATCAAATATCTCTTTGGCTTATTTCATGTCACCCCTTGTACTCAAATCTATATTATTTTGGCTACAAGAAAACTCCAAACCTAACTTTTCTGTCAATGGAAATCACTGATCTTCAATATGGGGCTCGTTATAAAGGGCAGAATATAGGGGAAAGTAAAATAATTATGTCCTCAAAGTTGACATATTAGACAGAAAAAAGAAAGGATTCAGTTTTGGCTGTAACATCTGTAAAAACCAGATAGGACAGAAAGGTGTTGATTAGGTACTGGCAACAAATGTTGTTGGATGAAACCCTGAGCAGCTCCTTGTTTGTGTGTAGCATCCACTGAGCTCACTCTGGAGGAGCTGACAGCCAATGGAGACACAGCTCTGATCCTGGCAGTTGAGGCCGGTTTGGTGGATAATGTGACTGTCCTGTTAAAACATGGAGTCTCCCCTCACAACACAAATGACAGGAATGAGTCTCCCCTACTCTTGGGTATGTGTCCTCAAGCATGGATTCATATTGATTTTAATATTATGCACTATTTTATTTGAAGTGAAAACAAGTTAAAAACCTGGGCTTTTGGACAAGTAGTCTCTGTTCACACTTGGTAACATGTAGTCAGTGACAGGCTTATTGTTATCAATCTCATGTATCTGTATGTCCTGTGGGATTGGGTGTCCTGCAGCGGTGAGACAAAAATCATATGAGATGGCGCTTGCCCTGATTATGGGAGGAGCCTTTGTGGAGCAGGTGTGTCTGAAGAAGTGGACAGCCATCCACGAAGTCGCTAAGGTCATTTAAATTTGTGTTTTATGCTTAAAAAAATAATTTGTGTTTCATGCTTAAAAGTAAAAGGGTCTTTTACTTGTCCTTAGGTGGGCTGTCCAGCTATTTTGATGCTGCTGCTTCGACATGGGGCCAAAGTGACCTCTAGAGATGGACATGGAGTGACCCCTTTGAGCATCGCAGCTGAACATGGCAACACTGAAGTACTGGAGATTCTCATACAACATGGTAAAATTTACAAAACAATAAAATAAAAATACATTAACATTAAACTTATGTTATAAAAAAATGAATGAGTATTATCGCCCTGTTACACCTGTAAATTCTATGGCATAAAACTGATGTTAAGTATGGTTCATTTTATTGATTGATGGACTGATAGTGAGCAATATCCACTTAGGATTTATTAAGATTAAAAGAAACTCTAGAGCGGGGTCTCCAGCTTTTTTCTTCCTGTGAGCTACATTTTGTAAAACAAAAATGCCAGAGAGCTACTCATTTTAGCAGTCACCAAAGGTTTTGTAAATAGAGTCATGGTAAGCCGAAGATGAGGTACATACAGTTACATGTCTATAAAACATAACCCATTATCTAGTTGTCAGTGCACAAAATTAGGCATCAAAATCATACATTTATAAAGGAAATAGGTTTTTAATCAATCAAATGGACAATACTTGGAAGGGGGATGGAGAGCTACTAGTAACTCCTGAGCTACAGGTTGGAGACCCCTGCTCTAGAGCTATTCCAACAAGATTTTAGTGATGCTCATTGCTCATATAAATGTTTCCAGTATTTCAATATAATGCCACTGTCCTCCACCAGGTGGCGATGTGAATGCCCAGGCCACCAATGGGGATACAGTGCTATATGATGCATCCGGAAATGGAAACCTGGACTGTATAGAGCTGCTGTTGGAGCACGGAGCAGATCCTAATGTGCAGAGCAATGCCTTTCAGCTGCCTGTCCACAGAGCAGCGTACGAGGGGCACATACTGTGAGCATAAGGCACTTTCATTTACAACCACATTTCATTCATCAGCTTAATGCATTAAAACAATGGCTATGTGATGGTAATAATGACATGTACATTAGTTTTAAACAGTACATTGAATTAAAAAGGGGCTGACAGAATGGCATAGTTGGCACTCTTGAATTTGTGGGGCTCTCATCTATCAACCCGAAGATCTAAAAAGAAAGGCACTATATAAATCCAATACATTATCACTTTTCAGGTGAGGGGTCCACCACCTATCACCTGTTGGTCACCTTGTAGCCCTTCTAGCCCTGCTCTTGACTTCCTGTTTGTGTGTTGTGCAGCGCTCTGAGGACCCTCCTGCCCCTCACCTCAAAGAAAGCCATCTGTATGTCCGGCCATAGTCCAGTGCACGCGGCCGCAGATGGAGGACAGCCCCAGTGTCTGCAGCTGCTCATAGACAGCGGGTTCGACGTCAATGTGCAGCTGGCAACATACATGTCTGGTACATGACAAACTATAATAATCATTTAAAGGTCCTATGTTACGCAAGATTGACTCCTGTGAGCTTTAAGCCATGTTATAATGCTGTTACCTTACCAAAAATATACCTGGAGTTGTGTTTTGTTTCATTCAAATATGTTGCGTAATCCTTTAGTCTGTCTACATCTCCAAGCTCAAAATGTTCTGTTCCACCTTGTAATGAAGCAGTAGTTTTCAAGTTAACGGCTACTGTTATTTCAGTAGAGATTGGAAATATTGTGTCTGAAATCATCCAAATGAGTCTAGTGAAGGTGTGTGGAGTTTTGGAGCACTTCCTGTATCACAAGGTGGAAAAGAATGTCTAAATATGCAGGGTTTGAGTGTTAAACATGTATGAAAGAAACAAAATGCAGCTCCACATGTTTTTGATGAGGAAACAACATTATAACGTAGATCAGAAAATAGCATAGTATAAGCCCTTTAATGGTCACAGTGAATTTTCTGTTGATACAAAAGTTTCAAAAGCTCCTGTTATACAAGATTCATTGGTGATTGTCATTTATATTCATCACCTGCTGTCACAAAATGAATGTCTTCAGAGTAAAAACTTTGAATCCACAATACTTTACCCATAAATCATTGCTCTCTTGTTGCAGAGAACTACGGCGACCTCAGGAGGAGTCCTCTGTACTTCGCTGTGTGTAACGGAGATGTGACCTGTGCACAGATGTTACTGGAGGCAGGAGCCAGAAGTGACCTGGATCCGTTACGATGTATATTAGTTGCCATACGAGCCGAGAGGTAGAGAAAAATAAGGATACATTATTCAAATAACATTTGGATTTGTTTTACAATTTAGATTTTAAAATCAAGATTTTGTTCAAACAGCACTTTTTAAAAATGTTGTCTGGGAGCATTAATAATTGAGAGATGCAGTTTATGTTTTTAGAGGTTTTTACTACAGCGTGCAATCTGGTGTACAGGTTTTACACCGAATTAAACTCAGTGACAGGGAAGTAGCACCAAACTCTGGGCCATAGGTACAAATCATCTTGGTGGACCCACACTGTTTTTTTTATGAAAACTGTATATTAGAAGACTTTGTGAGGGCCTCTCCTTATACTAGGTCCTAGGTAAACAGTACACTTTAGCCAGCCCCAGGCTGACACCCCTGCCCAGTGATAACATTACATTGTTGTAGAAATGTTGAAACACTAAACATGTCATTTATATATATTACATACACTAAAAAACATCAGCATGATCAATACCCAATATTATGTTCACTCAGAGGTAAAGTGAGACACCAATTGTTAAATGGGAGGCTGCTTTCTCCATGGAAAATTTAATGCTTTGCCTAAAGAAAAAAAAAAAAAAGTGAATAGTACAAAACTCATTGCAGGTATGAGTTGGTGCGCCTGCTGTTGTCCTATGGAGCTGATGTGAACTGTTACTTTAATGCCATCAGCCACACAGTGTTCCCCACAGGACTGCAGTACTGTCTGAGGGACCCTTTCATGCTCCGCCTGCTGCTCAACAGTGGATATGATGCAAACAGGTATGAAAGAGCTATTTCTCTATATATGATGTTTAAAAAATATATATAATTGTGACTTAAATTTAAGTTCTTTCAGCTTATAAATTTGTGCCTATGTGCTTGAATAATGACACCACTTCTTGATTGTATTTGTTTAGCTAGAGAAGGCATTGATCTGTATTTCAGTTTTTGTTTAATGGCCGCACAAATAACATAAATGTAAACTAGATGATTTTCAGATATTGTAATAAGTCTAAAACTGAAAATGCTGAAAAATAGCCTGCTGATATTCTAGTATAAAACTGTTTCTTTCCCTCACTATGTTTTACTTGATCAGGAAGTTCAGACAAAGTCCCTATTCCTGCTGTTTACTGGGCCCAAACAAGCTCTGATAACATCATTCTTACCCTGCAACCATCTGCCAGTCACTTTTTATGGGACTAGATTTAGATACACATTCCTTTGAGCACATCTTGTAATGATCTTCATTAATGACCAAATGCCAAACTTAAGAGCCAATTTTATCTTAATTTTTTCCTTTGATTTACGTATTGCCTCACATACCAGTGAAATCAAATCATTTTAGGAACAATTTTATAACTTTTTGTCTATTTTTGTATGAGATGTTTCCAGTGTTGTTGTGGGGTGAGTGAGGAGCTGGACAGTACCTGGGCTGACCTCCATAATCAGGCGTACCAGATCTACAGCCAACCGGACGCCATCACAGTGAGTGACAGCAACAATAACTTTTATTTTGGGAATCAGAATAACTCACCACTCACCACTATAAAGCACTATTAAAATGGCAATAAACATGTTACAGCAAAGTGATTACAAAAAATAGTCAGTCATCTGCTATTGTACACATTACCAGTCCCAAGCCTGCATATGAATACAGTATTATCAGAAAGGACTGGCTTAAAAATATAATAATGTTGTTAATGTTGTTTCCTCATCAAAACATAGGCAGAGTTGTGTTTTGTTCATACACACATGTTTAACACAAATCATGTATATATAGGCTGAGTTCTTCTCTAAAACAGAAAGCACTCTGTTCTAACTTGTGGTATCATGTGGTACAGGAAGTGCTCCATTGTGTTTTTAAAAACCCATGCACCTTCCCTTATTTGGATGATTTCAGGCCTGGAATATAAAATCTCTACCGAACAAGGTAGCTTGAAAACTACTGTGGCTTGAGGGTTAGCAGAAGGGGTCAAAAAGGTCAAATTTGATCTTGGTGACTATATTTGGGACTCCATACCATCTACATGAAAGCTAAGAATAGTGTGAGACTGCTGTCAGAAATGGTCATTCTCTCAAATATTCAGGTTCAACAGTTAGTTTGTAAATATCTGCTTGGAGTAAATAGATCTTACACCTGGAAAAAAGAAAGAAAGAAAGAAAGAAAAAAAAGAGCAGCAGCCAAGTTTGGGATTTGCGGACCCACAGTGCTCCCCTTAATAAAGATACCCAATATTTGACAACAGATTTTGAATCTATGACCAATAATCAAATATAATACACATTTTCAGCTTCCTAGCTCTATTTTTTATGAAGTTATGTTTTCTCAAAAAAACAAACAAACAAACAAACAAATGGGTATGTTGCCAAAATTTCAACGGCCCATAATTCAGGAATGTCTGAAGGGACTGAGCTCAAATTTGTAGATTCTTTCATTTGGTAATTTTTGAAATGTTTACATTTCACATGTTGACATTTTTTCAGCCAAATCTGAGATGGCTCATAGTGGAAGGCGGCTGATTTCATATGGATGGACCCCAAAGCATTTTGATCTTTGGAGATGTAGACAGACAAAACATAAAAGGATTACTCAAACATGTGAATGAATCAAAACACAATTCCAGGTATGTTTTTGAGGAGGTAACAGCATTATAACATGACTAAAAGTTCACAAGAATCAATTTTGTGTTAGATAAGACCTTTAATGTAACAAAAAAAAAAAAAAATCAGGTTTTTACTTTGTTTTCAGATAAGTTGTGCACATATTTTAACATTTTTGAGGTTTTGTTAGTGCAGTTATTCCATATATAATTCCTTTCCAGTTGCCATGATCCTGGATTATTTTGTTGCTAATGTAATACACCTTTTGAATATATATTGTGGTGCTTTCATTTTGCTATTTAATCTATAAACCTTGCTGATGTTTTAGTTTATTCTGCTACATACATGCACATTTTAAACCAAAGTCTTTTCCTTTCCTTTTAGTTCTGTGAGTTTGTGTCAGTTTCGTGGCTGAAAGAACATGTGGTGGGCGGTGTGGTGAGGATGCTCCTGGACTATGTGAGCCATGTAAATCTATGTCCCAAACTCCTGAAAATCCTGGAAGACCAACCTGAGTGGGAGGAGATCTCAGGCATCCTCAGTAAAACCCCTCACCCGTGTACACATGCATCCATATATTGATGCGTTTATAGGCGATTTAAGTGGAGTTTTGTGTTTGTTTGATCCACAGGCAGTCCACGCTCCCTTCAGCACTTGTGTCGATTGATCATTAGAGGTCACATTTCACCAAAGACACTGAACAATCCTGGTGCGATGTCAGAGGTTCCTCTTCCTTCCAGAGTGAAGAACTATCTGACCTACAAAGAGTATGACCTCTACGGTGACCTGTCCTCTCTTTAGAACGCAATGTGAGCACCGTTTAGGTAATATATTTTTATCTTTTGGTATTTTAAAGTGATTTCCTTTAATCCGCTGCAGTAAACCTTTATACAGATTTCTAAAGTAGTTGGTCAGTTCTTTCATAAATGCTTTTTTTTGTTTTGTTTTTTGTGACCACCTTTTGCAGTTGTTACCGCAGCATTTATTTTAAAGAGTTTGTAATCTACAGTGGCTTTTAACCTTTAATGACCAAATAAATATTGATTATGGTATTTCTGTACAGTAGACCTAATGTAGAATAAAAATATATATACATTTAGTTTACAGTTTGTTTTTGTTCGTTTTACTTATAAAGATTCTGATAAAACTTTTCTCCTGACCATCTGTGCACTCCGCAGTGACAACAATGTTTTTATATAAGGAAATGTTTGTTAAGAAGTGTGAATCTGGCCACTTATGTCACAATCTCTCATATAATACTCAGTTATTATAATAATAAATCATCAATAATACTCATTAATGTCATCATCATGTGTGCTTCTATGTGTCCTGTCTGGATTATTGATCTTAGATATAAGTGTATTTAAAGTATTAGAAAGAACATTAAAAGGCATTGTGTGCTATTTGAACAAAGTCATATATGTTTCAATATGGTATCTGCAAATTTCATGTCATTTGTGATGGTCATATTTTCAAGATTCTCATTAAATCAGCGCAGAATATTAATTTAGATGGTTCTGGAATATTACTGAAAACTCACACCAAATAAGCAAAGTGAGTTGTTTATATTGCAACTGATAATGCAACACTAACTTTGAAATTGATATGCTTTCTATGCCATTACCTCTAGAACTATATAAAGCATGTGACTCTAACTAGAAACCTTAACCCTAAGTACCATGTAATTATATAGTAATGCGTAAGATCAACTCAGACTGGCTAAATAGTATATAATTATTTCTACCTCTGTAGGCAACCAAATCACTCATTTCCTAGTGAGCCAGAGTGTTGGAGATGTGGGGAGACACATTTTTAAATATTCCATCCAATCCTTGTTTTTGCAGAGGTCGCTGGTGCTAGGAGAGTGCATGTCAATGGCCATAACTAGCCCGACACTAAAAACATTTTATCCACTCCACAAAGCACCCAAAGCAAATGAATTATTACATTAGACTGTGGATGTAAATGTCTGTGTTAACAAAATAATGTATGAAATAAAACTAACCTTGGATCGCATGAATCGTCGCATGTTGAGGGACTATTTTTTCAAATACCAATCCGCCGGTGCCAAGCTTTCTATCAGGGAGTACAGCAAGTACAACTCGCTGCTGCTGCTGCTCAGACATAAATCCTTCAAATGCAAGGTTGGTTTTACTTCTAAAATTATTCTATCGACACAGACATTCACATCGATAGTCTGGCGTTATAACTGTTTTGCCGCAGGTGCTTTGTGGAGTGGGTAAGACTGTTTTTAGTGGCAGGCTAACTATGGCCTTTGACATGAACTAGTCTAGCACCAGTGACCTCTGCAAATACAAGGACTGGATGGAATATTTTAAAAAGTGTCTCCACACGTCTCCAACACTCTGGCTAACTAGGAAATGAGGTCCTATGTCCACAATTCCAAACTGTCCCTTTAACATCAAGCACTTGACCACTGATCCATTCACTTTACACCTGGACACACTGAGAAGGCTAAGGGCATTGCCCAAGGATACAACAACAGCATGAATTGGAGGGAGCGGTGTTTGAACCACCAACTTTCAAACAGTGGAAAAATGCTCAACCAACTACTATTTAAAGGTCCGTTTAAGCCATGGTAGAGTGTTGCTACCTTATCAGAAATATACCTGGAGTTGTGTTTTGTTTCATTCACACATGTTTGAGTAATCCTGCATTATTAGACTGTCTACATCTTCAGCTCAGAATGCTCTGTTCCTCCTTGTGATGTCATGTAGTGGTTGTTTTCAGGTGAACAGCTACCTTTTACCTTTAGTTCAGTAGAAATGGACAATTCAGAGCTAAACTTACTGAAATTATTCTAGAGACGGTGCATGGAGTTTAAAAACACAAGGAAGTGCTTTCTGTATTACGTCATGACATCACAAGGTGGAACAGAGTGTTTTCAGTTTGAAAGAAGAACTCAGCCTAAGCTTGTGAGATTTGAGAGTTAAACATGTGTGAATGAAACAAAACACAACTCCAGGTTTGTTTGTGATGGGGAAGCAAGATTATAACATCAGAAAACAGTGTAATACGATCCCTTTAAATAGGTAATGTTAATTTTAGATTTTCCACACGTGCATGGGAAAATACATATATTGATAACATATTGGCTGACTACTACTAGTTGATTTTAATAATTAATTTAAGTAGCTAATATTAAGTTGCATGTAGTATTTGTCATATGTTCATTAGGTCATGTCTAATTATGTCTTATCTACCAGTAGTAGCATGACCCCTGCTCCTCCCCAGTTGTTCTTTTAGCTCTGGACAAAGCTATGCCTCCCACAGTGACATGCTCCAGTCCCTGAGCTCAGCGGCTTTTTGTGGCCCTCTCTCTCAACTATGTGTCCCAAAAAAGACACCGCATCATGGGCTCTGCTCTTTGGTACGTTCCCCCGTTGATCCCCCTCTCTTAAGGCTGACCCACACAGCAGCTGGGGAGATTAAACAGGAGGACAGAGAACCGGGCACTGTGGATACCTCAGCCAAACTTACAGGGAGCTAGTTGAAACTGGATCTCTGAAAGCAACGTTTTATGGAAGTAAAGGATGCATTTTTGACTTTTGTTCAGTTTTGGGAAGATAGAATGGATTAATAAATTTTTCCAAACACATTTATGGACATTGTGTGAATTGGTTAGTAATTAGTTGTAGCATTTGAACTGAAATTTGTTCAGATTGAAAATTTTGATCAACATTCTAACAATGAGTGTTTTTGGCTACCGTCGGGAGCTGAGTAAATATGAAGACGTTGATGAAGATGAGTTGCTGGCCTCCCTCAGCCCAGAAGAACTGGCAGAATTGGAGAAAGAGCTCGCCGATATAGACCCGGATACCAATGTCCCCATAGGCTTGAGACAGAGCCAGACAGACAAAACGCCAACAGGGACTTTTAGCAGGGAAGCGCTCATGAAATACTGGGAGAATGAGACACGGAAACTGCTGGAGGATGAGATAGGAGGAGGGAGCCCGAAACCTGTGAGTGAACAAAAAAAAGTTAATTTGATTTGTTTGGTATTCCTACTATGTGCCAGAAGCAAAGTGCAGCTTGTTTGAAGTTCTATCAGATAAAATGAAGCAAATGCTTAAAATATCTGAGTATATTGGATCATTGATGTGTTCAATGGGAAAAGAAAATGTCCCTAAACATGTTTTTTTGGACACAGCTAGGACATCTGTTTTTGTTTGTGATTGCACAACAAAATACTTTTTGTTACATAAGATGGTGGAGGAAGGACGGAAATGTATGCTGTTACCAGGTAAAATATATCAAAAGCATAATTACAAGTAAAAAAGTATTGCAAATTCACAGTAATAAATCGTCCTTAATACTTAAACTTTGAATAGACTTTTCCAGTACAAATGGAAAATTTTACAGAATCCTCAATCTCTATTCTGAACTTAAATCATAATTTAAGAAAGAAAACCAATTCTTGTAAGATTATTAAATAACAAAGCACATGAATAGCAGTTGGGTGTAAAATATAGAGAATCCTCACCTATATGTCTTTCTGAAGTAATGTACTTGTAGTAATGTAACACTTTACTATTACTAGTTATTTCAATGGGAGACCGGGAGGTCTTAAAAATAGTTCCATATTAACTTTATGGAACTTTATGAAGGGCATTTGTAATTTAAAATTGCTAATAGCCTATCTAAAAAAATATTAAACTTTACTTTTTTTTCCCTAAAAAAAATTACAAGTTGTCAGATTGGCAAAAGTAAAATATATAAATATAAAAAATATTTACTGCAAAGTCATGAGAGGAAAAGGTCAGGTCTAAAATCACTTGTTGTTTGCTTTCAGGATGAAGAGTTAAAGGAGACAGAAGAGGACAGTGAATGTGAAGATGAGAAAGACAATGAAAATGAGAAAGTGAAGGTGCACGAAAAACACACAGAAGATTCAGATGAAGGAGAAGCAGAGCAAGAGGAGGAGAGTGAGGAAGAGGAGAGCGAGGAAGAGGAGCCAGTGACAGAGGAGGACGAAGATGAGGAAGAAGAACCAGACAATAAAATAAAAACTGAACAGTCCAATGTTCGGACAGTGACACCAGAAGCACCAATGTTACTAAAACCACAGAGGGTGGAGCCAAGGAGACTGACTCCACCCCCTCCACCGCCTGCTGACAACCAAATGTCCGGAAATCCAACTGTAGTGGACGATGTCCTCCAGAAAGTCCTCAGCAACGACCCCGAGGTGACAGACGTGAACCTCAACAACATCGAGGACATCACACAGGTACCACCCCAAATGTGACATAACAATTTAACACATTTTACACACACTTTAGTTACAGTAGTCCACTAAGTCCCCAGTCCAAAAACAAACAAAAACAGTCCTAGTTCTGTGAGTAAAAGTATAGTTAGTGCTGAAATAACCATAATGCAGTCTGTCCTGAGGGCTGTATTTGAATGAAGCATGAGATAGAGCCTGACCAAAGCAATAACTGGTGTTAGCAAATTTCATTAAAATATGAGCTATAATTAGTGCATATTGCTATATTTATTAGTATCCAACATTGCTAGAGCCAAATTAAAACAGGCCAAAGGCTGGATGTGATCCTTGGGCTGCAAAATGTCCAGGTCTGGTCAAGAATGTCTTCCTTTATCCTGCTTCTGATTGTGGTGGATGACATGGTGTGGTTAGCGCTTCTGCCTCACATCCAGAGGGTCATAGGTTTTATTCCTGAACCAGGTGAGGCCTTTCGGTGTGGGGTTTGCATGTCCTCATTTCCAAAGTTTGACAAACTGCTTAATGAGAGAATGTGATATGGATATAGTTGTTGTCCCATGGTAGTTAACTATCAAGATCCTGGAACTCACTCACCCCATGTACTGTCTTACGCCTGCTGTCATCAGGAAACCCTGATCCGGTTTGCAGAGGCTCTGAGGTCCAACTCACATGTGCGGACCTTCAGCCTGGCCAACACTAAAGCTGATGACCCAGTAGCTTTGGCAATCGCCAAGATGTTGAGAGAGAACTCCTCCATCATCAGTCTCAATATAGAGTCTAACTATGTGAGCGGGAGGGGCGTGATGGCTCTGGTTCAGGCCTTACCCGGAAACAACACTCTGACAGAGCTGCGCTTCCACAACCAAAGACACATCTGTGGAGGACAGGTGAGAGCGCTCTGGTCACATGATCATGTAAAAACATAGGGTTCATGACCTGTGGTTATCCACTGCAGGTGGAGATGGAGATGGTGAAGGTCTTGAGAGAAAACCACACCCTGATAAAGTTGGGGTACCAGTTTAACCTGCCCGGTCCCAGGATGAGTATGACAGGGATCCTCACCAGAAACCAGGACCGCCAAAGACAGAAACGCCTTGAGGAGCAGAGGCTGAGGCAGGGCCAGCAGGGGCCAACAGAGGGCGCTGTGAACCCCAGGACCTCTGCACTGGTATGATGTTGCTTTTTACTGCATTATTTTAATATATTTTTAAGTTATGGGAAAAAAAAAAAACAAACATGTGGATATAAACAGGGCTGGTTGGAGACAACACTCTCAATAAATATTTCTTTTGAAAAAAATAAAAATAAAAATAGGTATATGTAGATGTATGCCCTCTCCTTGCTCCACAGAGAGGTACACCTGGTTCATCGCCATACAGTTCTCCATGGTCCTCTCCAAAACTCCCCAGAAATCAAGCCACAAAACAGACACCTCCACCACCTCCTCCTCCTCCTCCACCTCCTCCCCCACCACCACCTCCTCCTCCTCCACCCCCTGTACCCTCGCATGTTCAGAAGGAGAAGAAACCAACTCGTATGATCGCGGAGGTGATCAAGGCACATGAGGCGAGTGGTAAGAAGACCTCCAAAGGGAAGGGGAAGAAGAGTAAGAAGGGAAAGCATAAGGACAGCGATGCCGAGGAGACCGGGAGCATCCTGAAGGAGCTGAAGAACGCTCTGAGGCCCATGGTGGAGCGCAGAGGGGAGGACAGCAGACCCCCCACACCCCTCCGCTCTGCCCACGACCAGCTCATGGAGTCCATCAGGGGGAGCAGCATCCGAGGTCTCAGGAAGGTCAGTGGCAGAGATCTAATGAAACATGAACAATCGTTTTCTGTCCTCACTCTAATTAAATACCATGTTACACAAAATTGACTCTTGTGAACCATTTTATAATACTGTTACCAACCCAAAAGCATACCTTGTTGTGTTTTGTTTCATTCACACATTTGAGAAATCCTTTATTATTAGTGTGTCTATAACTCCAAATCTCAGAATGCTCTATTCCACCTTGTGATGTCATGAAACTGTAGTTTTTAAGTTAGCAGCTAATTATCCAAAAGATTCTAGTGAAGGTGCATAGAGTTTGGAGCACTCTCTACATTACCACATCACATCACAAAGTAGAACAGAGTGTTTTCTACAGGAGAGAAGAACTCATCCTAAATATGCAGGGTTTGTGTGTTAAACATGTGTGAATGAATCAAAACACAACTCCAGGTATGTTTGTGCTTAGGAAACAATATTATAACATAGGTTAGAAAATAGTCCCATTAAACAGGAAGAAATGAAGTGGGTGATATAACGTTATAGATAGATCTGTAAACTGACCTTAAAATGTCATACTGCAAACTATATTGTTTTATTTTACAACACAGCTCCATGCCAGGTCTGTTTGAGTGAGTGACAGGTGGATTTAACCAATCACAATGAAGTGTAAACTCTCAGTTTAATTTAAAGTATAAAGGGAAGAAATGTGACTGGGATGTGATGGATTATTATTTTTTGTTATATTGCTTACCCTTGTTATTAGATTGCCTGTTCTTATTATTACAACAGACTCATGTTTACTTGTAGCTCAATGGTGGGGCTGCAGTTCACAAGCACAACAACATCGGTGGAAGGTCTTGCTCAATGTCTCTTCCTGTTATCCATCCAAATTCTTTTTGAACATGAATGTGGCACGATGACTGACTATCTTGCATTCTCGTCTCACAGCAAGACAGGTTTACCAGTTACAGGTTTCTGAGTTTGTTTGAGTTTCTCCCTGTGTTTGGGCGGGTTTCTTCCAGCCACTCTGGTTTCTCTCATCAACCCAAAACATGCACAATAGCTCCTGTTAAGATAGTCCAAATCAAAATTAGCTAAAGATCTGGAGATGGATCTCTGGGAGTCGCACTGCACATACTCCTGCCCCAGCAGCAATGAAAGATGGGTCATATTTCCCTAGGGGCAATAGAGTAGCTTCATCTTAATGCTGTGACTAAAAAAATGTTACATTTCTCACAAAAATTCAAAATTACTGCACATATTGGACTCTTATGTGTGATTACATAACCAAAACACAACACCAACCAACCAATACGAAGAATGGATACACTATGGAATATAAAATAAAACAGAACTGAAAACACGATAATTACTATATTGAATTATTGTTCAGTATATTGGGTTCTTTTTCTTTATACTAGTGGGACATGTTGGTAATTTTTCTGTACTACGATGAGATTTGAGGGCTGAATTATGAACTTCTATGATTCATTATAGATACAAACTAAGTATTTATATGGCACATTCTACGGTTTATTTATTTATATTTACTGCAATATATCACACTTCAAAATGTGGCTGCTTTGAATTTCTGAATAATACTGTGAACTTTCTGAAATTGTGTAACTTTTCATGTCGTTGTTGGATGGCTTTGTTTGGGTTATTGTTGAAGTGGAAAATGCTTGTGCCCTCAGATGGCAGCGGCCTCTTAGCTGTGACATTCCTGACACTTAGTCCTGGTATTTATAGAAGCTGTTCACCAAAGTTTGATAATACCTGATACTATGTTACCCCAGCAGCATCACAAACAGGGGGTTAGCCTAAGACAAATGATAATACATGGATAATAATAGTTTGGCTCTTAAATAATTATAATATTTTAACCTATATTCATTGTTTTATTTTCAGGTGGAGCTCCCTCATCATCTCAGATAAAAAGGTCCTTTTGTTTCAGTCAAGCCACAGGAGACTACATTGGTGTCTACAATAGTGACCAATAGAAATGGAAAAAAATGAAAAAGAAAAAAAAAACTTGTGAATAAATACATATTTGTATTTGCACTTGAGTTGCTAATGAACTAATGAATTTGAATCTTAAATGTTTACCAATCTGTTTTCTAAGTCACAGAGAAATTGTAAATTTGTACATATCACCTCTTGTTTGACAAGTTTGTTTCTAATAGAATTAAATGTGTGTTTGGATTAAATGTATTGTATATTCTTACATCAGTCACTTTTCACTTAATTGAAGGTCTTATATTATGCAAAATTTACTCTTGTAAGTTTCAAGCCATGTTATAATGCTGTTACCTCCTCAAAAAATACCAGGAGTTGTGTTTTGTTCATTCACATATGTTTGAGTAATCCTGTATTGTTATTGTGTCTACATTTCCAAAGCTCAAAATGCCTTTTTCCACCTTCTGATGCCGTGAAGAGGTAGTTTTAGTTTTTTGCCTGTTTAGTAGAGATTGGCAATTCCAGAAATGAAGTTTTAAAACACAGTGGAGTACTTCCTGTATTACCACAACATCACAAGGTGGAACAGAGTGTTGTCAGCCTAAATATGCAGGATTTGGCTGAATGAAACAAAACACAACTCCAGGTATGATTTTGATGAAGAAACAACATGATAACATAGATCAGAAATTAGTGTAATATGTGGCCTTTAAGAGACCAACATGTGTACAAAAATAACTAGATGAATTACATTGTCTATAAAATCGCTGTTATTTATGATGTGTCATGAGAGTTGAAGGTTGAATTATAGAGAGGTGTTGACAGAGACTGAGCACAAACGACACAAAAGATGAAGAGAGCCAAGCTAAAGCTAATCCTGGAGCTACATTTGTTTATGTGAGCTAAATATGTCCGTCACTGCTAAAGCCACCAGCAGCTGCTCAGAGGTGACACAGACAGAGGAGCTCAGAGACAGACTGATAAATTACATAACACGCACAAAAATATGAAAAAAAGAAAAATATAACCTAAATAGATATTGAATTTACTTGTGTGTATGGAGATATATCGATCTTCATGGAGATGAGCAGATGACATCACTGGGGTAAATTACATGTCAGATCTGTGGAGAAGCTCTGCATTCCCCTCTACAATACTATTTCAACAATAAAAATACCTATAATCAATGATAAAGATAAAAAGATTTTTGTAGTGTAATGCCAACGTTTGGAAAATTCTTGGATTCAAGAATGGCGGATTGACAAAAGCCAACCAGAGAGCAGGAGCTTGTATGATAATTAAAAGGCCTTTTAAACTATTTTCTGATCTATGTTGCAATGTTGTTTCTTCATCAGAAACTTACCTGGAGTTATCTTTTGTTTTATTCACACATTTAAAACACAAACCCTGCATATTTAGGCTAAGTTCTCTTAAACAGAAAACACTCTGTTCCACCTTGTGATGTCATGCTGTAATGAACAGAAAGTGCTCCACTGTTTTTAAACTCCATACACCTTCATTAGAATCATTTAGATGATTTCAGCCCTGGAAATGCCAATCTATTTGACATAAAAGAATGAGAAATATGACAATTGACTGTTGTTTATTATGTGTTTCTTAATATAACAATATGATTAATGCAAGGGCAAAACTGGCTCTGCACTAGAACAAATCTCTCTGGTATTCTCCGTTACAGTGGCTCATTATAATATGAGCATGGCATGTCTTTGGCCGAGTGACTAACCAAATAAAACTAATAATGAAACTTCCTTTCCTTCAGAGCACCATTTGTCATGCCAAAGTGTCAATAAGAATCATTTACTAAAATATGCAATACATTTTAACAACTTCCTGCTTCCTTCCAGGGTGGTCACATACAGTGGTGGGGGAACAAAGATGTCCACTTTGCAAACCATGTTACCCACTTAGTGAATGCATGATTTATTGGACTGTGTTAAAGATCTAAGACTTCACATTCCACAATAAAACTTGGCGTAACGCTGAACTAACAAAACCAGACCAAGCCAATCTGAAATGGGCACAAACTGAAACTCTCAAATTATTGTCGTTTCAGGGTGATTATCTATTTTACTTTTTACTGTGTCCTAGTATAATTCAGTTTGAAAATCTCAAATCAACATCATTAATCTAAAACCTGAACATTAAGTATGTCGTGACAGCCATTTAAAGACAAATCGTTTCTTAATCCTTATGAAAACTGACACTGGTTTGATACAGTTCAGCAAATATTAACTGAATACAAACAAGGAATATTATTCAGACAACCTTTTTTTATTACGGAAGACTGACTTTTTTTTTTTTTTTTGGCAATTCCAGGGCTAAAATCATCCAAATTATTCTAGTGAAGGTGTATGGAGTTAAACTATGGGGAGCACTTGTTGTATACCACTTGAGAATGAGACAAAAAACAACTCCAGGTATGTTTTTGATGAGTAAAGAACATTATAACATACATTTAAAAATAGCATAATATAATATGTTTAATCCTTGTGAAAGCTGACAGTGGTTTGATACAGCTCAGCAAATATGAACTGAATACAAACAAGGAATAATATTCAGACAGACTCCTTTAAAGGTTCTATATTACTCAAAATTGACTTTGTTTCATTCACACGTTTGAGTAACCAGGGCTAAAATCATTCAGATTATTCTAGTGAAGGTGTATGGAGTTAAAAACATGGGGAACACTGGTTGTATACCAATTGTTAAATGTGTGAATGAAACAAAACACAACTCCAGGTATGTTTTTGATGAGTAAACACCATTATAACAGATTAAAAAATAGCATAAAATGGGATGTTTAATCCTTTGAAAGCTGACACTAGTTTGATACAGCTCAGCAAGCATTAACGAAATACAAATGCAGAATACTATTCAGTCAACTTCCTTTAATGTCCAGTTCATTATAACATAAAAAATATATATTATTATACTATTTTGGTGTATTATTAGTTAACTGAACCATTAACCACTTGGACAAACGATACTCTGTCAAATAAAGATTACAAGATTACAGGGTAAGGAAATCTCATGTTACATTTTAATTGTAAATTCGAGTTGTTGTTAAGCGCCATCCTCAATACACACTGATATATTTTATAGGATAACAGATTTTTAATACACACACATGGCAGAAGTGGGTGTTTTTCCATAACTTGGCAGAGCTGAACAATCTTATGGCAGATGTACTGATCCGAGGCTCAGCTGTTATAATGCATATTCCCTGGCAATGCGTTTGAATATTCAAATATATTAAATTACTATCCAATAATAGATGGAACATAAAGTTACAAATGAAAGTCCATGACAAAATAATGCATTTATTTTTATTGGAGTGTACATTGTAAAACCTGTATTTGTCCAACCACAATGATAAAGCTGGAGTCCATGACATTGTATTGACAGATACCTAGAGTCCCAACAGATGAGAAGAAGGCCCTGCTTCCCATAGACTAAAATGGCATTTGACAATAAGCAGGTTCAAACAATTTAATCAACAATTCAAGATAATTTTCCTATTGCACCAAGTAATGCATCCATTAAAGTAAGTTTATGCTCCTGTATCGTACAAAGCATTTGGTCACATGTGACGAGATCCCATATTAAGTCAAGGCAAATCCACTTAAAATCATTTTCAGAGTAATGCATTTGAATGAGTGTACTAGAAAATATGTTCACTTTTATTGTTAGGTTCCTATGACAACAATCAACTTTTAAAATCTGAAAATGTATGATTTAAGTGCATGTATTCCTGTTGGATTCCAAGTATTTTTACATTGTACAGTTGATATTTTTGAAGCATCTGCTTTGTAAACCCATATTGTATTACACATTGATAGAGGCATATTAACAGAACTAAAGTTTACAAGCATTTGAATTCTCTTCTTTCTTAAATGATCCAATATAAACATATCAGATATCAAGCAAAAGCACTGGGCCAGAAGTCTTGCATGTAGTGTGACGTTAAAGGTGCATTGTGTAACTTTTCTGGTAGAAGGTCTGTCAAATGCTTTTGCTTTGTCTAGAATGTCACATGGTATTGCATTAAACCTTTCTATCTTCATGGAGACCAAACCAGACCAAGTTACAGATCAGATCTGTGGAATTCAACCACTCACACAATCAGAATGCAAATTTTTCTAGGTATTTTTGAGCTATAAAACCACCTGTAATTGAATATATGTAAGGTAGAGCTGTTTAATGTCATACTGTGGAACATCCCAGGCAGAGCAATGACATCTCCATAGAAACACGAGGCAGGTGATGGACTCCACACCAGAAAAATTTACAAATGCCTTTTGTTATGCATAAGTTTAAATTCAACAATGGTACAGTCCTGAAAATGTCTCTTTTCAATTTGTGCAAAAATAGACTCAAATTTACAGCTGACAGCAAATTAAGCTAAATATTTCATTTTTCCCCATTTGTTTTAAGAAAATACAAGTGTTAAACTATAGGATCATTTGAATTAAGTAAAAACTACAGAGAATAAGATATGAAAATAGTTTTTTTCCTCTTAATGAACAATGGTGATGATATAAAGGATTTTTGCAAGGCCATCCCTCAATCAGTAAAAAACAAAAAAAAAGAAAAAACAAAACAAAATTACCTTGAAGATTTGATAGACAAGTTGATGCAAAATTGCACATTTATAAGAAAATAGGGCACAGTAAGTAAGAGAGAAGGTGTGACAGTTGAGTGACAGATGGAGGTGACAAAAACAGGAGTCTAGCAGTGTGGGAGAGGAACAAAAGCACTGTTAAAATCCAAGACTAGAAAAATAAATGAAAAACATTTACAGAAGAACGAGGTATTGCACAGATTAATAAAAAAGCAATAAAGGCAACAAAAATGTACAGAAAGTTGATAGAACATTTACATTTTATAATATTGAAAGTAAAATTTGTATTGATAGACAAAGACAGTTTAGTGTCATTTGTAGGTTCGGGGGGGAAAAGGCTAATCTTCCCATTCATCCTCATCATCAAAATCCTCGTCTTCATCGTCATCGTCATCCTCATCTGGAGAGACAATTTTAAAAGCATAAAATTTAATACATGTTGCAAAAAATATATATATTTTTTTTCTTTTTGTATATGTGTTTGTTTTATTTTTTGTTATGTCTTTGTTTATTTTATTGTATGAATAATTTCTGTTCCTTTGTAATATTTAGCATTATTTAACACGCACATGGTTATACTGTATTGTGTAAAAAGACAAATCCCTCAACATTTTTTATTTGGAAATTAATACATTTATAAAAGGCCAGGTAGATTGCATGCCAGGACATAATTAACACAGAAAAACGCCAACATAAGAAATACATTTATGCAGACTAGTCTAGAGAACACAGTAATTCTCGCAGATCTCAGTTGGTTAAAAATAATAATATACTATACTGTCTTAAAATGGCATTACCTGAGGAATGAATGGCCTTGCTCCTTTTCTGCATCACCTCCATCAGAGCCCCCACGATACCAGCCGAGGGGGCAGGGGTCGCTGGGGCAGTGTCTGGGGCATCTTCCCTCTGTTAAGTGCACAAATGTTAGGAGACTGTTTTTTCTTTTTAATAAATGTTAGTAGAATATTAGCTAAAGAGGAGGGATCTATATTTAAATGTATTGGATTGAGATGAAGGATGGGAATATAAAGTGTGAGTGAAATTGTTACTTATGGTTAACTAACATTATGATATATTTTGTTTAGTTTAGTTTTTTGAATCAGAGTTGAAGGTGTACGTACTGATTTGAGCTGTATTCCCGCTCTAATTTGGTCCAGAAGTGCATCTCTTCCCACTGCTGATACCGGCCGCTCCTTCTGATCCACCTTCTTCAGCTGCGTGCCCTCTCGGATCTGACTGAGCAGCGCAGTCTTCCCATCTCCTCCATTAGCGTCCATGCCGGGCAGAGCGGGTGGAGCGGGCGGAGGCGGGCCAGGTGGCGGGGGTGGAGGAGGAGGCGGCGGCGCTCCTCCTCCACCAGGGGGCCCAGGAGGTGGTGGTGGAGGAGGTGGGCCCAGGGGCAGAGAGGCATGGGCGGGGGGAGGAGGGGAGGCAGGGTACCGCGGCTGGGAGGAGGCGGTGGTGGTGCGCCCATGCCCGGTCGACTAGGTGGGGGTGGAGGAGGAGCGTTGAAAGGGGCTCTGGAGGGTGGTGGAGGCGGCGGAGCTCCACGACCGCCGCGCACCGGAGGAGGAGGGGGAGGGGCGGAGCCGTGGTGAGGGGGAGGAGGAGGTGGGCCGCCGCGGGATGGAGGAGGTGGAGGGGGAGCTGTGAGGGTAAAAATGAAAAAAGAAAAAGTTGATAAAATATTGTTACAATGCACTGCTCAAACTACTTTATGTCTTATTGAAATGTTTATTTCCTATTTTACCAAGGGATACTATCAAATACGCTAATGCCAGAGGTGTATCAGGCAAAAACAATTAAAATAAGCTATTTAAAATGTATTTTAGCAAAAGTATGGAACATTTCCCCATTGTAACCCTAGTGCAAATAAAGAAACAACTTACAAAAAAGTAAGTATTTAAACATGTTAGTGTGGTTTCAAATGCCAGCACTACAACTGTTGACCTGTAATAATGGACAAAATTCTGTTCAGTAAAGTAAAAAAAAAAGAAAAGAAAAAAAAGCTATACACAACAGAAAGAGGAATCTGTCGAGTAAGGTGTGCTATAATTGTTGCTGTAAAAATGTATCGAGCAATTAGTTGTCACATAAAACTAACTTGAATAAGAAACATTAGAAATTCCAAGTAAGACAGATCACACCTTGCAGCACACAAAGGATTCCTGCCATGCATCTTAATGTTTTCACCATTATAACACTTTCTCATTTCAATCTCAAAAATACTACTACACAAACCTACTAGAGAATGAAAAACTGAGACAAGAAATAGCACTGCAAATTTTCACCCAAGAGGTCACACAACACCTCCACATGCAGCCATCATCAGGGCATGCAGACAAACCTACCACCCAACCTGGGGGGACCTGAGGACAAAACCACCACTAGTTAACCATCTGTAAGTGAGTCATGGAAAAAAACACAACATAAAACAATCTACAATCTTGCGAAAAACCAAGTCAAAGGAAGAGCTCATTTAATTTTCTTGATGATCATGAGAAAACACCAGTATTAGTTTTGGATATCTGGTCTGATCTGATAGACCGAGTGTTAGGATATTGGTACAGAAAGGCCCCACTTCACAAACTTCACTATGTAACTGTTCAAATGAGTCAACCACAAACTTGTCTCCATGGAAATGATGCTGCTTTGCCTCGAATATCCCACAGTACTTCTCTATCTTGCATACATTCAATTATAAGTGGTTTTGATGGGTCACCTCTTCACTGTGACTGTGGACTGTGGCATCGCCTTCCTATCTCCAAAGAAATATTTAAGTTTAATGCCACACGGTGGAACATTCCAGGTAACACATTAACTCCATGAAGACAAGAAGATGACTAGAAACCCTCACCCAAAAAGTTACGATGTACAATTTAAAGACTATTTACTGTGCACTGTAGTATTATTTATTTTGAGTCAGTTCATCTGCTCACTTTGTTACAGGGACTGAAAAAGCTGTATTAGTGCCTCCCTAAATACAATAATACAGATTCTGCTGGATAATGTACCTAAAGTGATGTCCTTACCTTGTCGTCTCAGCTCATTCTTGACAGCCTCGACTCCGCCCTTTTTCTCAATGAAATCATAGATCACTTTGGAGGTCTCTTTGTCCTTCAGGTCAGTCTCAGAGATGCCGCACAAATCAAACAGATTTTTCAACTCTGGATCCAAATTATTCAGCTGTGTAAAAACAAAAATAAATATATCATGAAATCTGCTAATTACACAGTTGTTTATCATTACCATTACGGACTCCCAAACAGCATTGCTTTTGATTGGGTCATGTGTGGGTGGACAATAGGTCAAAACAAATGCAGCAAAACAAGGTTACATAAATGTGTGTTATTATAAAGCCACAGGGAGCAACATTCTCTATTGTCTGTAGCTTTATAATCAATTTCTGTGTGAAATGTCTTGTTTTGTTTAGAAGTACAATACAAAAGGTGCACTATGTACATCTGAGGATCTGCTTCCTGTTTCTCTCCACGAAAATTGTATTGCTTTGTCAGGAATGTTCCACAGTATGACATTAATCCAAACTAGTCACAGGTCAGATCCATGGAGAGGAGACACCATTCACTTAATTCACACTGTAAGAATACATCTTTCAAGGTATTTTCTGTGATAAAAAAAAAAACACCTGTTATGCAAGATAGATTTGTGGCGCAGCTAAGGGACCCCGACTGAAAAGTTACATAGTGCAGCTTTAAGTCTCCATCTTTTAAATAAATAAAATTTTATTACAAATGTTAACTTGTTTTATACTAAGAGATGTCAAAAGAAGTCACGTATTCTTACACTTGTCAGTAGTCATAATGTTAAGAACTGCTGCCCTCTGTGGTCTGAACTGTAATTTACATTTACAGATTTTAATCCTTATTTATAGAGATTTGCAGCTCAAAACACTATAGGGCCTATTTAGAGTTGACTTTTCCCTGCCAGGATTATACAGCCCACACACTTCAGATTAACACAGAACCTTTTGAGAGGCTCAAACTAAGATTTTTCAGGCTGGTTATGAAATACAGTGTTTTATTTATGCCCCAAATATGACTGAGTCTAAGACCCAACTATGTGCTGTATGCTGCCATCTGCTGGGGAATGAACATTTTAAGTAAGGTGTGGCTGTGCAAACAGGTTTGCCCTGAGCTAAAGTCAATACTTGTTGAGACTTCACTTATATAATTGACTGTAAAAACATGACAATGTAAATAAACACATATAAAGCATACACATTATTGAGTACAACACTGCAGTTATGGTGGTGGCTATTTAGGCCTCATTTAATCTTTTAACTATTCTTTGTAGAACATTAACACCATCTTTAAAATGCTTGTAAAACAGCTGTCAACCAGAGCTTGTTTTGAGATGAGTAATAGAGCCTATTTAAAGGAAAAATGCCCAGTACTGATGAACAATTAGTATTTGGTATATTCAATATAAGAGCTGTCTTTAAAACCTTTTTTACATAATTATATAATTATATTTCTGGAATTGGAGAAAGTCCGTTGACCTGGATCACCTCATCATTCTCCACTATAATTATTGATGATGCTTTCTGGATTATGCAAATACAGGTTAACTCCCCGGTACCCTCAATCTCTGTAAGATTATAACAGAATTGGCTGCACAGAGTGGTCTTAAAAACTCCAGAAATATTTTTGAAATGTATCAGAGAAGTTGCAATACCAATACTGTAAAATATACATTGGAGTCAATTACAAGACTTGCAGTAGTGTGACTCTAAATAAAGACTGAAATTGTACACCTGAATATACTTTTTGATGATACATTGTGTGTCTGACTCATTCATCAGAAAATATACTTACATCGAAGCCTGTGTTTGGATCCCATCCTACATGACCTATGTGCCTGTAAAAACAAACATTAGGTCAAGACACTGTACTGTGGAAATCATTTGAATAGGTTTATTTTGCTCTGTGTATCCATTTTACTTGCTAATCTTAGTGTAGTCTGTTTTATTCGGTTTTGTCTATAATATATATGTAAATATAATCACTGTCTTACTGGAAGTTGCTGGGAGTGCCGATGTCTGCCTTAGTCAGTTTCTTCTTCTTGCCGCCTTTGGGCTTCCTCTCTCTCTTGGGGAAAGGTGAGGGCACGATGCTGTTCACCTGAGAGTTGTTATGGAAACGCGGAACACTGATCTCGGGGTTTTTGATGTCGACTGTGGCCATTGGCAAAGATGGACCTGAAGAAAAGAATATAAAGTCATGATGCGAGTTTAACAGAAGAGCTTGGTTAGAATTTCAATGTACTTTTATGACGTTTACAGATTATTTGAGAAAGATCTAAGTTTTTAATATATACAGTTCCTCAATCAATCAAATGCCTGGCTGGTAATTTGTTTCCATTGGTTAGAGATTGTTAAAAAAATTTGCTCTGTTGCCATGGCGATTAACAATTTGAGGCAAAATACTGTATTGCTTGAGTCGACAATTATGTTACCGATAACAGAAAGCTGAAACCCATAAATATGGAAGTACTTTGAGATTCTGGGCTTTAACGATAACTGCACATGTTTTGACTTTACACAACAATAATGCCAGTGTATGTTTTCTACAGACATCTATCCATTAAAAGTATTATGCATAAATATTATGATTATTAATGGTACTTGATATTGTTAATAAATGTTATGTTTATGCATTGTGTTCTTATATTAACATAAAAGAACAATGGATGGAAATGCCTTTATGTAAGCGAGCCAGTTAAGAGCACAAGTAGATGTCCTGGCTGCCTCTTAGATAAGACGCCACAGACGACCCAGACACAACCACATGTGATATAACCACACTGTGATGTCAAGCTAACGTGTCAGCATTACCACAACTTCACATTGTCACAAAGGACAAAAATACTGTTTACCCACTACAGCCATTACCAAACAAAAAAGCAACTTAAGCCATATTCCACAGATACTTTACAGTCTTTTAACAGTTAAGAAAGCTAAATTAATACAATGTTGTGTATTTATAAAAACGGTTTACACTGTAGTTTTTTGTCACAGTAAATTATATTCATTAAAACAAAAATGTAAATGAATTAGTTTAATAGTGCATTGTGTATGAGTATTTATCAATTCAAATATTTATGTAATCCCTTACCCTAAACTATAATCTATGTATCTACTAACCCTAACCCTAAAAATCTAGCTTTTCAGAACAATTTTGTCAAGGTCTATAAAACAGAGATAACAGGTTTTAAGGAAAAAAGACCCCCGCAGAGACAGGATACTTGGTTGCTTGCATAAGACACTGTTTTGCCTAAATATTTAAACTTTGTGATTAGCTCATTGCGTTTTGATTCGATTGCGTTGCTGCACTCCAACCAACCATACCTTTGTTTCTCTGTTTATAAGGACTCTGGAGTATTTTCACTGGTGAAGATGACGCAGACCTGCTCTGCCTCCCTCGCACCCTGTCCCACATACACACACTGTCCTGTTTGGGGTTAGCTCTCACACGCATTAGTCCATTTCCCAACATTTTATTGGGTCTTTCGTCTAATCGGAGTGAGATGCTTCCTCTTCTTTCAGACTGACAAGTGTAAAGTTCATCCTGGGGCAAAACCAGGCAGTGTAAAGAGGACAAGCAGCTCCCAGGGTCCAAATGTCCATAATGTAAAGGTGTAGTCCCTGTCCTGTCGCAACCCAAGTCCTCTGAGGGGGCAGAGAGGAACGTGGTACAAAACATCATACTTCAACAAATTAATGATCAGTTCCAAAAGCCAGAAACTGAAAAAGTGACGAAGAAAAAAACAACTTCAAGAAAAAAATCACACATTCACATTTTTAGACGGCGTAGGTGGTCTTGTTGGAGCATATTTGTACAAGTTAGTTAAAAAAAAAATCAGTTTAAAGTTGAACCAATTTGTTTCCAATTATCCAAGAGACGCAGCATGTTTGACCGGTCACCTGCAAACACAATCGCCATTGCCATAAAGAGTTGGGGAAAGTTCAGCGATAGATATTTTCCAGTTTGAAAGTAACTTCTTGGATAGAAAATGTGCAAGATCAGTATCCATAATATTCCAAGTCTGAACAATGTATTTGTCTGCAGTCTCTTGGGAGATCCAGTTAAAGTAATCCAAATACTAACACAAAAATAAACAAATAAACCTATAGACTTTTCTTAATGCCAGTTTTTTCGCATATTTATCCAGTATCTCCCCCGGTTTTTCCTCAGTCAGTGCATTCTTGGATTATGTTCCTCAGACTGGCATGCTCTGATCAGTTCTCCTCCAGTCTCCAGCTCAACAACTGCTAATACAACCATGCTCTCCTCCCTTTCTCCACCACACAACACAGCAAACGCATCTAATCCCCGCAAATGAGTCAGGATTTAGCTGTGGATTTTTTATGTAACTATTAAGTCCCATTGGTGCGTAATCCGATGGTAATCTGAGTGGTTTCTGCAACTAGAGGAATATAAAGTGAAGAATGGAAAAAGGCAGACAGAAAAGGGAATGAAAAGAGCAGAGGTTGAGTGGGGACAAGAGTTGGTGAGGGTGGTAAAGATTAGAAAAGTACAATGAAGCCTTGTCCATACACTGCATGTTAGATCTGTGTTTGACCTACTGACTATGAAGCCCAAATTCTTAGCATTTTTCTGTTTTGTGGAGTTATGTGTAGAGTTTAGAAAAGGATCGTAAACACAGGAAAAAATAGAGCTATCTATTGTGGGAGAGATAAGCAAAAAAGTCTGAATATTTTGGGCAAAATTTCACAATTTTCTAACGAAACCTAACCAGTTCAATGATAACATGCTTATTCTCTGTATGCTTCAAGTCATAGTCAGCCTTCTGCGTGGGCCTTAACAGAGTAAATGAGATGTGCACTCAGTTAGTCCAGAGTCTGACAAGGACCAATGATGGACATCTCTCTCCTCTGTCACATTCTTAAAATATATCTGCTGTACTTAGAACTCCTATATATATATATATATGCACATCCATTTTTGCTTTCATTAGCATAAATATATATGTGAGTCATCTCTTGTGTGACTGACTTACAGTATGTGAAGCATGTGTGAAATGGAGTCTAATCAAGCATCTATTCATGTGGGTCTAGAGTAATTTCTTACCAACTGTTGATGCATTTAATCAATCCCTGTAAGAAAATTTGCACTCTACACTTAACCCATCCTTCAGTGTTGGTGGAGCAATGAGCAACATACAAGGAGCAGGTACCAATCTCCAGATGTTGAGCAAGGTTTGATCATTTTACCCAAGGAAATCCAATCACATACTGCACACATGGTCCCATGCTGCCTGGGAACTAGGGATGGGCATTAGTCGATTAATCGATAATCGATCATTAAGAATTTTATCGATTACGTTCATTTTAATCGACAAACCAAATGTAGGTTGTTGTGCGTAGTGTGACCAAACAGGGGTCCGGACATGTAGCTCTCTGCACTCAGAAGGAGCGAGACACAAACAGTCAGTCAGTCTGCAAGTGCTGAAGCGCAAATGCGTATTTAACGATGACTTGTACAAGAAATTCCACGTTTTCTGTTCTGGTCGGAACAAGTGGGAGGCCATGTGCACAGTGTACAAAAGCTCACCAGGTGAGAGTAGCGCAATGTCGATGACAAGATCCCACCTCCCACCCCCCGTATGGTGTCCTGGTTTTAACAAACGCAAATATGTTCACACTAACCTGTATTCCACAGAGAGTCATAACTTTTAATCTGACAGAAGTTGATCGCATCAGCGCACAAGAGCATTTTTATATTTTTTTTAATCTTCGCTTAGTATATGCAAATTAGCGATGTGGTTTTAAGTTTAGTTTCTGTGATTGTTAATTCTTCTGACGATTGATTAAGAAAATTTCATCGAATGACCATCCCTACTGGGAACTGAACCTGAAACCTTCTGGCTGTGAGGTGGGAGTACCAGACTACTCAGATATCATAAAATATACCTAAAATAAACCCAATCAGAGTATAATGATGAATTTAAACGCCTATAACCTAAATTTCACAAACAAATACCACAACTAAACAAGCGTGTTGATGTATGGTGTTCCACATTTACACCAAATAAAATGATTCAAATGAAAATTCAATAGCTCATTTATCCTAGTAATAGATCAAGAAACATCAAAAACAAACTTCACTGACAGACGCAAATCCCCTTAATAATACATATACGATTAATAAGCACAATATGAGGTACTTGTGTTGAGATGAGTGCGTGTGGACGGAGACAGATGGAGGAGTCAGGGCAATGTTCCAGCAGGAAGTTTGACGTGTTTAGGAAAGAAATCAGCTGCCAGCCAGCACAGATGATACTTATTCTGTTTTTCTATTCAAACTAAGCAGGACAAATGCAGCTATGACACTTTATACACAATTATATCAGTCACAACTTTCATAGAATATGCAGTAGGTTTTGTTCAAAAAATATGGGAAGAACATCACTTGTGTTTCAAATTATTATTTTGAGTTAATAAAGGAAATATTCTTTAGAAATATCAGATTTTGCTCAGCCCTTTTGCATATAGTCTGACCAACATATATCAGCCAAATAATACATCAACCCGATATTTGCACATTTTAGCATTTAGGCTATTGGTCTTAAAATTCCAGCACAGGTCGATATTTTGTTTGGGCCAACCATCTTAAGCTTAAATTAAGAATGAAGCTTTAAACGAACACTTCAATACAAAGAGGTTACTGCACAACAGGTGGCTACACAGTTCTAATCCAGTTTGTAAGAAAAGAGGTTTGTGAATTTGCAATAAATTTAACTCAAATATTTGGGGGAAATGATCAAAATCATCCCTACATATCGTCCAAAACATATTGGCACTGGTTGCTCTGGACTCTAAGCAATTAATATCGGCACTGGCCATGAAAAACCCTTATGATCTTGTCTGACCTATTATATTCCATTATGATAACTGTGCTATATTATTGTATTGTATAGTACAATTATACAGTTCTTAGAAAAACACAGTTGGATCATAGATTAAAATTTTAGGGATTCATGTTTTACAAATTTTTGATAGTATTTGATTATGCGTATAAATCACTTTTCTTATGCACGTGTTCATTTTAATATGCCCTACATATCGCCACTATTATAGTTAATCAGCTTAAATGTGTCATGTGTAGTTATTATGGAGAGCTGTACATTTATTGCTTTGTGTATTTTTACGCCAAATCCTGCAGTCCGTCAGAAATATAAACATGTGGAGATCGTGTTTACTCACACATGAATGTCATGTGTCCCATCTGGAAATATGTTGTTCATAAAGCCAAATGTGCAAAACGAGGATTGAAACGGGATATTTTAAGACTACAGATTCATAGCTTTAAAATAAAAAAACTGAGCCGTTTTTTTCTTAAGATCTGTTTTGGCTTTTAGTTTCAGAATTCACGACAGTCAATCAATGAGTGGAGTAATGACCGTGTTGATAAGGGAAGGGAGCTGGCCCAGATTTACAATATTCAACATCTTGAAATAACTACAAAAGCTTTACTTTTTTATTATTAGTTATATGAGTAGAGCATGTGACAAAGGAGTGAATGCTTGCTTAGATTATGGCAATAAAATGTGATATACAACATAAATCTTGCAAAATATTTTTTACTAGCACGAGTAAAGTTTAAGGTTACATTTCGGTTACACTCTCATAATTATATTGTGTGACAAGAAAATGAAACATACCATTTGGAGGGTCACGTCTCTTCTCTGCGAACACAGACAAATGTATCCGTTAAATTTAATTTTTTATTTTTTATTTTAGAGGAAAGCCAGAGTTTGCGCAGTTAGTTAGAAGAAAGAAGAGCTTTGGGTATTTTAGATTCAGAGCACAGAGATGAGATGCGAAGGAAGAGAGTTATTAAAAGGAACTGCCAGGCATAGTTTGAATAATTTGCCTAATCTCTTCTTAACCAAAGTTTGACGTCACAATGCTAAATTTTAAAGAAAAAACAAACAAAAAACATTGTCGTTATGATTGTATGATTATGTCGTTGAGTCGTTATGATTGAAACCATAGATGAAAACTAGAGAAACTTTTATTTACGAAGTGGTTTGTCATGCCCATGTGCCCAGGTTTCGACCCAATTTATCCATACATTTCAAAATTATGAAAAATTAGGACTGTATCTTCTAAATGTTGATTTGTTTTCAAAATTTGCCTATTGATACTTTGCAACTGCTGTCATCAACATTCCCTGGGAGTGTGATGCTAACTGTAGGCTCTGCTCTGTCTGGGACTTTGTTAGACTGTAATCTAATCTTTATTTTAACAAACTCTGACCAGAAAAAGCTGATTTAGTTGGAACTACAACAGGTGAGATGACAAACAAGTCTCTCACACATAAAATTACACATTAGCCAGTTTTTCAGTTACTCACACTCACTTTTTTCCTGCTGAAAATCAAACACCTAAACAGGACCATGAACGCTTGTATTGATACTGAAAATGTGTTGTTTAAATCAATTTTGTGTTTGTCTTGAGCTTTCAGACAGACAATCTTTTACGGTAGAGTTTGCTAATGTGCGAATTATGTCACCATTTTAACTCCTTAACATTGCACCATTAGAGATGCATACAGAACACCCCCAGCGTGATGCCACTGCAAAATATCAATAACAGAAAGCTGAAACTCATGTCAGTATGTTTTGAATTAGATGAGGTTGATTGAAAACTCCTTTCCTTCTAAAAAATAAAATATATTCTCACTCCACTTCACAAATATTGAAAAATCAATCCAACATTCTTATTTGAGAGACGTGTACAGAAAAAGACTGAAAGCTTTGCGGTTACTTGAAAAGCAGCAACAAGTCTGACAATGGACTTTGCAGTGACGAAAAGATGAAACGCTTTAATATGCTGATGACTTAAGTTTCCAATGACACAGGGTCAGACCAGAGAAGCCAAGAAGCAGAGATTAGAGCGTCCAATCAGACGAGAGGGGGCAAACATCAAAGAGGACAATCTATTAGAGAGGTCAGGAAGAGCAGTGTGGGACAGAGGCAGCAGCTTTAATCAAGGAAATAAAAGTCAATGTGCAGAGTTAATGTGTATGTGCACGGCAGTCCAATGTGCTTTTAATTTAAACTGATCAATATGTGGCACAAATATCTCTTAAAATAGTTCATGGATGACTCAGTAAAGGGCGCTGTACAAATGATTCTGTAGTTTAAACTAACACCATCTCATAATATTAGCTTTTTTAAAACAACTGGGATTAGTTTAAATTCAGACTAAAGCAGGTCTAAAACAGGACTAAAATAAAACCTGGACTTTAGAATGACTAAAATGGACACACCAGAGCAATAATTTCTATTTAGATCAACTGATTAATAATAAATTATGAAGTAATTGCAAATTTATTGAAAAAAGCTGCTTGGACTATATGAAATGCACTCAAAAACGTTTTTTTAAATAAAAATTACAACATAAATAACATAAATAAAACTGAATAAAACAGAAGACGAAGAATGCCAACAAATGTGTTTGTTGCACAACTACAAGCAATACTTTGTCTCATCTGTCACGATAATTACTATATTGACTTATCGTTCAATATATAAAAGCTGGAACAATATATTTTGGGGCTCAATATTTATCATTTGTACATTTTCTTTGTAAATGTGGGGAAATTTGGGGTATTTTCACTGTTATACAATACAATTTGAGTTCTAGAGGGTTGAATAAGTAACCTCTATGTCTAACTATTGGTTCCTTCTGCTGTTTATTTGTTGCAACTCAGGCCTTTTAATGACACTGTCTCTTTAAAACTGGTTTACCACTTCTGTCAGTGGTTTCAATATTACTATTTATCACAGTATAAAGTGCTTTAAGTGCCTTGAAGGTATCATTTATCTCTGTAACAAAGTATTGTTCTTCAAAATGTGTTATTGTCACAGGCCTAATCTTATCAAAATAAAAAATAAAGACTTATATTTAGCATACAATCAGAAGATTGTTGTTTTGCAGGTTGTAGTGGTACAAAGTTGCTGTGCTGAAATAACACAATACATTTTAATCTGGTGAAGTATTAGGAAGTGGGACGTGGTTGGGTCAATCGCTACACAAGGGATAAGCCCTCTGCCTATTGTTACATGTTGTTGAAAGATTGAACATGTACTGCCCCCTACAGACAGGTGAGGGTACTGTGTAACTTGGTTTAGTTGGTCCAGAGAATGTTGTGAATGTAATGAATGTATGTATGTTTGGTAATAATGGCATAAAAGAGGTTTTAATAAAAGCCTGAGAGCCAGAAGTTAAGAAGAAATACAGGAAGTAAAACAAAAATGATTTGAAACATTCTTTCATTTTCAATACACAATAATAACACAGTATATAGTGGACGGCTTATTACTATTATTCAAAGTGAATTGAATGTCAAACCAGTTTTGTAAAGACTGTAAAGATTTGAAATCTTATGAAATGAAGTGCTCATTGCAATTACATATTTTATCAAACTTTATGTTGGTCATTCTAAAATAGTTTCCATTTTTCTGAGCACTTCATTTCAAAAAAGATTGTGAATTTTCTATTTATTTTATTTCATTTAATTGTTACCAGTCTTCCTTTGTCTTCTCCCCACAAGGTCTGACACATTTCGACGAAACAGCTTTGCTTCCTCTTCATTGGCAAAGTTAAGACCCACTTGGCATGTCTGTAAAAGAAAAAGAAAATGTTTATCAGTTTATCTTTGAAAGAAACTTTGTGTTCATAGTTTAATTTAACTTGAGAAATGTAAAACACTTCAAAAAACACTGAGAAACACTAAAGCATATAGTGAAAGCCATGACCGTATAAACAGTAAGTAATACTAGTCGTAACAATTCAAGTTGTAAACTATTAAAATACAAAGAGTAAAAACTGACGAATGTGGACCTGTTTTTTTCAATCAAATCACCAATCTCTGCACAATCCTCTACTCTCACTGTTATGATATTGAGATATCTACAAATTGAATCAAGTTCTTTTGCCTTCACTTTTACTACTATTAGCTGCATTTGATGGTGGAACTCACAAAACCAGTTTCCCTCTTAATATTTTTATTGTTTTTAAGTTATTTTTTTGTTTTTGATTTTTTCATAATTTTTAGTGTGTGTCATATTTATTATTTATTTATTTTAAATGATCTTATATTTTAGGTGAACACCAGAAAGTGACTGTGTTTTGCTTTAAATGACTCAAGGACTGGACCCTGACAAATAATACCCACCAGGCCACATATTTGTTCTATAAATAAACAGCCTTGTTATGGGAAACTATTCAAATAATGCTTATAATGTAAAATTTTTGTGCAACCATGTCCTAGTTGTTTAAAATGTATTGAGCAGATGAATAAAAACAGTCTCAAGCTTTAGCATAATAATTGCTTGAGGAAAGAAAAGCTGTTGTGTCCTTTCTAGTGTGATCATAATGAAAAGATGTAAATAACCACTCAAAATGAGAACGTGGTCACTCGGGAGTACAGTTGGAGGTAGTGATATTTAAATCTATTGATATTTTGCAGTTGCCTCATGCTGGGGGTGTTCTACATGGAGCTCTATGGTGGAATGTTTGGGAGTTACCATGATAACAGAATGCACAGAAAAGTTTTAGATTTCCTGAAAACTCAAGTCAAAACACAAAATGGATTTAAACATCACAGTTTCAAGCACCTTGATGAATATGAGCGTTCATGGTCCTGTTTAGGTGTTTGATTTTCAACAAAAAGCAGACAGAGGCTAAAAGCGACTCATCTGTTGTAGTTCCAGCTAAGTCAATTTTTTCTGGTCAAATTGTGTTAAAATAAAGCTTAGATTAAAGTTCAACAAGCTTCAGACAGAGAAGTGCCTACAGTTAGCATTACACCCTCCACGAATGTTGAAGTATCTATAGCAGGGCCCACAAATAACTTTATAATAATAACAACATGTACTTTGTGATACAGCCATGTCTTTAGCTACACTGCTATATATTATATTTGTTTATATCTACTTAAAATAGGGAAAAAATCAATTAACTTAAATATCATTTGTTATTTTTTTTTCCCAATACCAATACATATGAAACCACTCTCTAAAAATCACTCATATTGATATTAGCATTGCTATATTGTCCATCTTAAGTTGGATTGTGTGTGAGAGACTTGTAATAAATAAAACAGTGATTTTATAGCCTGAACTCACATCTCCAGTGAATGTAACAAAGTACGGCCTGGAGGAGGAGAGGTCGAAGCCGTTGTAGAGCTCCTGTTCAAACATCACTTTTCCATCCTGTGGAAAACAACACAAAAGAATGATGTGTGATAACTATAAAACGTATATATACTTTTGGATTTGGACAAAAAGTGATAACATGATACTAAAACATTAATGAGGAATTAAGAACAAATATAGTCATTTAAAGGATTTAGGCAAATATTTATTCTGATTGCAGAGTTTACTTAAAACATAGCAATATCTACATAATACAATGTGCCTCATTGAATTTAGTTTTATTTTTGTATTATTCTATGCTTTTGGTTCATTGCAAACGTAATACAGCATATTGGTTCTACTACACACTATTCCAGTGTCTATTGTATACAATTAATAAAAAACTACTAAGCTTTGTAAGACTTGCTATAAGTTTCTCACATTCACTTATCTCACAAAATGTGCCAAAAAAAAGTGACAATCATAAACTCAGTATTATTTTATTTATGAAAAAGTGGTCTTAAGAACAATAACTTGAACATAAATAAGTGATTTTACCCTGAGGTCGAAGACTCTGATGAAGTAGGAGCGTTGGGGATTGTCTTTGACCAGACAGGCCACTCCACAGCACTTCTTGCTCCAGGTGGAGTTCCTCTCTGCAGTGAACACCTGGACCACAGCGGAGGCGAGTGACTGCACAGAGAGGAAGGGGGCTGTGTGTTAGAAGGTCAAGTATACATTTAAACTGACATATTTCACACAATATTACTAAAGTGACTGTTTATGTAAGCAGCAGAGTGTCTGAAATATTCCACTAAATGGTATTATGATTACCATACAGTAAATATGATTTTCTATGAAGTGGTCATCACTCAACAAATTTATATCTGCTTAATATTTTACTTTTATATTCACTTGGAAAGTACAGGTATGTACTTTCAGTTTCAGGTCTCCACAGACTTACAATATGAGCTGAGATCAAAGGGCATCTCATAATTCAACACAAAACACAATGCATGGCTTATAAAACCAGTAATATCAAAATATAGCCATAACTTGCTCATTTATAACTTACAATACATTAGAAGTACAAATAAAAGTACAGTCATATTGATTTTACAACAGTGAATCCTGGTTTCCTATGACAAAATAATCTATCAGGAATCACGGCCATGACAAAAAAGTTCTCAAAATTTCATCTTTAACAAGAAAATGTCCAAATTGACACTTGTATATGTGACTATAGCAGGGAATGGTATAATGTCAGTTCAGCAGCGTGCCGACAGTTCACACACAGAGGATCAAGGTTATGTCCTCAGGTTTTACAGGGTCCTGGGAGTCTCAGAGCCACACATGAAAGAAGGTGCTCCGTCACCTGCTGAAAACACACGGGGCTATTCCAGGAAGGATCACCTCTAATGAGGCAATAAAACTGAGCAGAGCAGTTAGACAAGGATCCATCATCAAAGTGTCTAAAAGAAGAAAGCGTACACAAGAGGATGGCCAAATCTTTACTTAGAAAACCACAAATTAAGTAATCAATCTAGTTATCTAAATATCAAATTATTAGATTCAACTGATGTGACAGATATTGTGAATGTGATGGAATCTGAGATAGTTTCTTGAAATGAATGATTTTTTTTTCTACAACACAAGCTTTAACATGAGAAAACACAGAAATAAATTTAGAGGATTAAATTACTGAGCAGGACAAGTGTCAAGATATTTGGCTTCTGCATTGACACACCATGTGACTGAAATAATAACAGCTTTAGTAATTATGTAATAGAAGTTTCTTAGAAAGATTCACTGCAAGTCCTCAAGTAAAAGTAAAATTTAAGGTTTAGTGTAGGCTAAACCATAGACTGTATAAAGAAGTGGACTAAGGGAGTGTGATGTCACCCATAGTGTTTGCCTCCAGTCAAATGAAGCTCATGATGCCAGTGGGTATAGGAGCAAATTTGGAACCAAGCTCCATATTAGAAATAGGAATTTATTAATGGACAAAAAAACTAAATAAAAACCCCAGGATCATGCAGAGCAAGTTAATACAAATTTTTTAAGACCGAAATAACAAGATTACTGCAGCAGTTACAGAGAGAGGGGTGACAATTAGAGCCCGACCGATATGGATTTTGTTGTGGCCGATATGAAACCGATATAATGGGAGTTGGAGCTGCTGATAGCCGATATAATCGCCGATATATTTAGTGATGTAAAAATTCATTGTAAATCTTGAATTGTTTAAAAAACTTAGGTTTGGCTCTAGTGGATTTTAAATTGGGTTTATTTAGGCAACATTTATTGTTATTCTGCCTCTTTACATCATATTTACAGACAGTAGGTTGGTCTAATGGCATTTTTGCATCACATTCTAGCTACAAGTGATGGGTATTCCAGGTTTTTTTTTTTTTTGGAGAACCGGCTCTTTTGGCTCGGCTCACTAAAGCAGCTGGCTCTTTCGGCTCCCAAGCGACTCTTGAGATTGTTTTGTTGCAAGCAGGACTAAACCAAAACTGAACCAGGACTGAAAAAGGACTAAACCAGGACTAAAACAGATCTAAACCATGTGTAAAACAGGACTAAACCAGAACTGAACCAGGACTGAGTGTGAGTGGACTCGGTCTCTCCCTCGCTCGAGCCCAAGATTAGTCCTGGTTAATTCATTTTATGCTGAACTGCAGCCAAACATGCACTTTTTTTTTATCCTATGCACACGCAAATTTCTAAAAGTTTTGTTTTCAGCCGCTGCTGCTGTCAAACTACGGGTCTACAAGCGGCTTGAAGAGAAAAAGAGAGAAAGAGAAAACACGGCTCCCAATAAGAAACATGCTCCCGTTGTTCGCTTCAAAGAGCCGGATCTACGAGCCGCTTCGATCGCGACCGACCCATAACTCCTAGCTAGTAAAGAAACTAGCGCTATTAGCCTTTAGCCGTAAAAACGTGCGCGCCACGGTAATTAATAATATGAATAAATGTGGATCATTCACACGTCTATTCACAGCTCATTTACATATCAATGCAGGTCCAGTAACAAATATACGGCCAATATAGTCACTTTACAATAGACCAATAGAAAACAGCCTGTTTATGTGCGGGAGCTACAGCAGCTAAACGCTAATAACAAATAGCCAAAACTAGCTTCAAAGTCGATGTATTTCCAACACTCAGCGCTCACACAGGCTCCTCCTCACATCACAAGTTTGCACTAATAAATGTCCTTTTAATCCAGACTCAAACCGATTGTCCGTATATAGAATATAATCTCAGTGTTGTGCACGGCTGCGGGTGTAAACAATAGCATGTGAGTGAAGTGACGTGGTGTGTTCAGGGACAGTACGGACACAAACACAGACAAATTACACCGCAGATAAATACTGATGCGGAGCCACATATTAGGACATTTATCTGTCTGTAAATTGGATTAAATGAACATAATGTAGAGAGTCTAAAATTTATAACGAGGTATAACATGCCCACGTGAAATATCGGCCCATACCAGCAAGCATATCGGCCGATAGCCGATGTCTCCAGGTGGCCATACCGGCCAATAATATCGGCCAGCCGATATATCGGTCGGGCTCTAGTGACAATATTCCCAAGTCAATTGGAGCTATTTTCCCAAGTCAATTGGAGTTATTTTATAGTATGTGATGACGCACACACTATAATATGAATGCATCTAATCTTACAAACATAAAAAATAAGCTGATTTTAGTTTAAAAAAAATATACATAAGTATACATAATTAAAAGTGTTACTGTAAATTTGTTTTAATATCGTTTATCATCTACATTCTCTTCAGCAATATATCGTACTTCTTTTTTTTTTTCTTTATCATTACAGGCCTACAAATGGCATTTTGAAATCACAATATTCTAAGCTATTTGCAAATCTACTTTTCCGCTCCTTAAATGTAACTGCATACAAAATAGTAATGGCCAGTTGGAGGAGTGAGTAGGAAAAAGTATATGTTTTAGCACAGACTTGTAACAAACAAAGAAGCACTGGAATCATATGACTATGTCACCAATAAGCAGATTACAACAAAGATTTGACCACTTTTCATTTTATATCACCATACCACCCAGCCCTTGTCCACTACTTGAGAAATAACAGCAAAAAATAAATAAAAACTTCATCACAAACAGTTTGGGTCAGTGTGTTTAAATATCACGGGTTATCTCCCCCCAGTGTGGAGCCCTATTCACAAACTGTGACTGGGAACTTCCACTCGACTGGCCACAGCTCCACAGTGGAATAAATAAACGATTACTGCTCGAGTCAGTGCACCAAGGCCCTCCATACACTGAGCTCTCCACACACTGTCCTCTCTCCACACAGAGCTCTCCACACACTGAGCTCCACACACACTGAGCTCCACACACACTGAGCTCCACACACACTGTCCTCTATCCACACTGAGCTCCACGCACACTGTCCTTTCTCCACGCACACTGTCCTTTCTCCACGCACACTGTCCTCTCTCCACGCACACTGTCCTCTCTCCACGCACACTGTCCTCTCTCCACGCACACTGTCCTCTCTCCACGCACACTGTCCTCTCTCCACGCACACTGTCCTCTCTCCACGCACACTGTCCTCTCTCCACGCACACTGTCCTCTCTCCACGCACACTGTCCTCTCTCCACGCACACTGTCTCTCTCCACGCACACTGTCCTCTCTCCACGCACACTGTCCTCTCTCCACGCACACTGTCCTCTCTACACACTGCGCTCTCCGCTAAGTGGGTTACTCTGCCTGGAGGTTCTGCGGGGAGGGGCATATAGGATGCTAAGGTCTATATATGACATCAAACTACACGACACTGCTTACATGAGGTAGTAACATGCAAGTGGAAGTTACATCATCGTGGGTGGCTTAATGAACAGTACATGCAGTGCTTTTGAAATCTGCCATTACTGGAAAAATAAAATTAGCACAGCGTAACAATGTGTCCTTCAAGATTACATGAATGAAATACTTGGGTCTGTGTTTACAATAAAGTGATGTGACATCATCTCTAAAAGATAATACTGGAATGGACATTATCTAGTTTGTAGACTATTACAGCATTAAAAACACTACAAAAACAGCTTATAATAAATAAAATGAAAAATAAACTCTCCATTAAAGTTACCAGGTGAGATTTCTGCACTTTTGGGTTTGTTCTTAGTCAGTGATACTTGAACCTAGACCAGTTATTCTTAGCAAAATCCTAAATTAATCTATAATATCTGATTATCTTTATCACAATATAAACAAACATGTCATTTTTGTTGATACCGTCCACCCCTCTTGATTGCATGTATGCAAGCGGTTTCATCATCCTGTTGTTTGATGAATGCTGAAATCTTTTTTATGTGGTAAGTGCTATAGATTAACACAGGGTAATAATTTACCCTTCAATGCCGCCTGCATGCATGGTACATTTAGGCTTTCCAACACTGGCAAAGTGACAATATGAATGATTTTTGATGTAAAAGTCCTTAAATCAAAATTAATACGTTTTTTTAAAGGTCCTCCATAAAATTGCCTTGTGAGATTTAAGCCATGCTATAATGCTGTTACCTCCTCAAAAACGCACCTGACATTTTGTTTTGTTTCTTTCACACATGTTTGAGTTTATTATTAGTCTATCTACATCTCCAAAGCTCAAAATGTCCTGTTCCGGCTTGTGATAACTTGAAAG